CTTTGCTGGCTGAGGAATTCTGGGAGTTGAAGTCCACAAGTCTTAAAGTTGCCAAGGTTGGACACCCCTGGTTTAGACTACTGAAGGTCCCAGGTTTCTACTTCAGCTCTAGCATTACCACTGAGGAATGCCACTGTGGAGCAGCCAAAAGAGCAGAGATGGGAGCGGGGGGAAGAAAGACAAGTGGAAAGGGCCCAGTGGTCATAGGTGCAGATGGATACAAAGCACCTAAATTTTGATCATGTGACCATTGCAATAACCATAACTTTGGGGACCAGGCATAAGTACCACTCTTTCACTGCTGCTATAACTTTAAATGTTCACTGAATAAAGGATTGTAACTTGAGGGCTACATGTATGCAGAAGTAAATTAATGGTTATATTCATTAGAAAAACCAACAGAAATGCCAGGCTTCCCAAACAATACCTGGAGGTCCACGAGGGCCTTGAATTCCAGGGAGTCCAATACCTTGGTTTCCTTTAGCTCCATTTTTTCCTGGTAGTCCTACAAGACAGGTAGTATAGGAGATCACTAATTCTCGAACAGTGTATATTAAGACATATTTCTACAGTAGATTACTATACAATGTCCTGGCTGTACCTCCTACTGGAAGTTAGCAGATGGAACACATAATTTTTATATTGGACATTTTATCATTTGCAATTCATTCGCCTGCAGCCTTAGAAGAAACAGCCTCAGTAACTCTGAGCATCACAGTTTAATTGACTGCATAGATGAATTAAAGACTTGCTTCAAATAATCTGACAGTTCCTGGCTATGTCACAAAAATCCATGTACCACAAAGGAAACCTTGCGCTAGAATTGAACAGAAGAAAGGCAAGAGTTACTATACAAGTCTTAGGTTCACATATCTAAAATTCACTTTTGCAATGATACAAGTAGTCCTTCACTTATGACCACAACTGGAATCAGAACTTCTGTCGCTGAGGTGGTCGTTAAGAGAGTTATGTCAGATTCTGCAGATTATCTTTCTTACAGTGATTGTTAAGCAAATCACTAGGGTCATTAAGTGAATCAGATGGTCATTGGGCACATGTGGCTTTCTCTATAGGATTTGCTTATTGGAAGCTGACTGGGAAGATGGAAAATAGTGGTCATGTGACTCCAGGAGACTCCAAATGTCTGAAATACATACTGATTACCAACTGCCCCAATTTTGATCACATAATTATAAGGATGCTACAACAGTTATAAATGCAAGGCCTGGTCACTTTTTCAGAGCAGTTGTAACTTTGAAAATGTGCATAAGTTGCGGACTGCTTATGCAGGTAGTCATCAACTTATAACAATTCATTTAGTGACCATTTGAAGCTACAACGGCACTGAAAAAAATGACTTATGATCATTTGCCACACAACTATTGCAGCATCTCCATGATCACATGATCCGAATTCAGAAACTTAGCACTGTTACAGTGTCCTGAGGTCATGTCACTTTTTGTGATCTTCTGACAAGCAAAGTCTATGAGGAAGCCAGATTCGCTTAAACAACTGTGATACTAGCTTAACAATTGCAGTGATTCACTTAACAACTATGGCAAGAAAGGTGGCAAAATGAGGCAAAATTAACCAATGTCTCAGGAACAGAAATGTTGGGCTCAATTGTCGTCCCAAGTTGAGGACTATCCGTATACGGTTGTAAATAAAATGGCAACAATCTGATTGCTCTGCTTCAGTGATTAATTGTTGATGTGCTTCAGCTGTTGCCAACGGGTAGCAGTAGTGTTGGTTAAATAAGGAATGATAAGATTAAGTATCAATCCTTTCAGATGCTCAGAAAACACTTTTGGCACTTTCTATTCTTCCCTGTGAAAATAGATTTCTTTTATTGCCCTGGTTGTCTGCTATGAAGAGTAAGCGACTAATGATATACAATGATGTCACCATGCAAATGCCACAACTCCCTTTCTTGTATCAAATGTTTCACTTTTGGGAACTCATGTAGCTTTGAGCAATCTTTAAACAAGTAGTCAGAAGTTGAGGACTACCTGTATATAGTTGTAAATAAAATGGCAGCAACCCGATAATAATTAATTGCTGATGTGTTATTATTTTGGTTTGCTGCTTATTGCTACAGGGCTTGGTTTTGTTTTTGCTGGTAATTATTATAAGTGGTGTTCAAAAAGCTTTGTGCAGATTGCAAGCAGTTTTTCTATTGAATTAGCCTTCTATTTATGACAGACATTTTCCACATAATTGCTCTCTCTTGGCTCAGGACAACCCTCAAGGAAAAGTGGCAATTTTCCCAGTCTCCCAGTTTAAAGTAACACACATGTCCACTCCATTTCTTAAGCAGGCAAAGAAACCACTTTTTAAAGGGGGAATTCGTGAAACAGCCTGATCCCCAGGCCTATATTTTGCCTTAGAAAACTACCGTTATGAACTTGTCATAACTTTAGTCAAAGAATTAAATATGTACAATTGGACAATGGCTTTCATAATGATATGAAAAGTCGCTCCCGCCAGAAATGCGGACCAGACTGGGGACTGTAGTTAGTCAGGGAATACAACAAAAAGAATTTTAAAAACACAGGCTTACAGATGTGGATATCACAGATAAAACTTCCTAATGAAGACAAAAGAAAACTCCATTGGGTCTGAACCCTTCAGATCTGTGAACCATTTATATCAGGGGTGTCAAACTCACAGCCCGCAGGCTGGATGCATCACGCACTGGCCATGCCCATCCCTTGGTTTAGTGAAGGGGGGAAAAGTTAAGATATGTCATGAGACAACGACATGACAACGCGAGTTTGATATCCCTGATTTAGATGGTACGTGGTTCTTAAGGGGATTTTGAGGGAACAAAAATATCCTGAATCAATAATTAAGAAAAGCCTACAAGAGCAGGTGCTTCAGGACTAACCTACTCCCACGTGATAAGGGCTGTGGCCTATTTATTTATTTTATTTACTTATTTATTAAATTTATTGGCCACCCATCTCACTTTGAACTGACTTTAAGCGCCTTACAGCATTAAAAAAATACTAAAATCATCAACAATAAATATAGCTAACCCAATGAAATGACAGTACCATCAAAATGTTGTCAAAGTACTTCAAAAAAGCATTCCTTTTTTGTCAAAAAAGCTGAAAATTCTGGCAGGTTTTATCAATAGAGAATCATAATTCTTGGGTCCTTTTATCTCTCCTTGCTTAGTTAAAAGTGTTCCTTGAATTCTTTTTCTAGCTATCTAATTACTTCTTTTGCATCCTCCCTACATTTGGCCTCCCTGTTAAATAAAATATTGCATTTGTTATTTTGCATATCCTATGACAGCCCATGAGGTTTGAGTGACACGCCAGCATTCACCAAAACCTGACAATGATTCTCAAAAGCGTGCCCATTCTCACAAGATTTTGGGAGGCTGTGGAGACCACACAAGAATGGTGTGTGCTCTTGCGCAGTCTCTGGGCCCTCTAAAAATTGTGTGAAGACAGGGTGTGCTTTTGAGTGGCTTTCTGAAACTGCAGAGACCATGGAAGTAATAGTTTTAGGTTGGAATTAGGAAAGTTTGTTAAAGAAATTGCTGAGGCAGGATGCTGCAAGAGTGCAACAAATGGTGGGACACTACTGCCTACCAACAAAAAAGTTGCAATTAGAAGGATGCTAGCTAAGGCAAGAACTATATAAACTTTGGTAACCTCTAGCTTATTATAATAGTAAAAAACACACCTCTTTTGATATGAAAGCTTATTAATATAAACATGTGATGTATGAAGGAGGGTAAAGTAGAAAAATTCAATCAAAAGAAACATGTGTCAAGGAATCCAATGGTCACACATTCTTAGGATGTTAACTTCCTTAATCATAACTGTATAAAATGTGTGCTTGTGCATTGTTTGAGATCTCAGCTCCTTTGAGGCTAGACCCTTTTGCTGGAGTACTCCAATAAAAGAAGCTGAATATTCTATTCCTTGTGTCTTTAGTGGCTTTGGCACTAGGCTAGGACCCATTTGGGGTACAAAAGTGTCTTCTCTGAAGACACTTCAAGAACAAAGACTTTGGGTGAGCTGGAACAGCCTCAGGTAGGCCTGTCAATAGGAATGAATTAATCTTTCAGCTCCATGCAATTCTGATCAGGAAATACGGTAAGAAATTTCATTTATCCCTTGTATTTTTAAGATTCCCCTTGCCTAAAACTACCAGCAGGCTCCGTGCCTCAGAATAAGCAATTATCTTTGCTAAGAAATCGTTAAAATAGCTATTTTTCCTTTTGTAAACTTTGAAGGTGCAAAGGACAAATAACTCTACTTTGGTGAGGAAGAATCTGGCAGCCTTCATCCATTTATAAAGTATCAGGATGAAATAGTGGTCTAATTGTTAGAACCTAACATATCCAGACAGCAATGAATTGGAGAAAGTTGCTTAAATTCCATTCCTATTCAAAACAGATTAGAAACAAAAACAGAAATGGGTTTGTAATGCATACAATTACCTTTTGTGCCACGAGATCCAGGACGCCCAGGAACTCCTGCCAGACCTGGAACGCCATCATTTCCTGGCAAACCAGGAAAACCTCGAGGACCTTGTGGACCAGTCAGGCCTGGTGGACCAGGAGGTCCGGAGATGGCATCAGGAGATTGGCAATGATCGCAATGCTGGAACCTTCTGTCCCTAAGTATAGCAGGCAACTGGGCTAAGAAGAATTCAGATAACAAATATTTAGATCAAACATAAAACATCTCACTATCAAGGCATAACATCTATTGACTGGGAGAATGAGCAGCCACTGTGCACAAGTATTGTGCCCTGATGGATCCAGCATGATGGAACAATAGCATCCTCTATTTCAGAGGTTAGCTTTATAGTGGTGAGGCACTAAAAAAATTATGTGATTGTGAACTGGTAAGCCATAATAAATGTATCCCAAAATGGGGAAACAATACATTTACAAATAGGAAATCACTATATCAGTTACTATTTTTTTTTTAAAAATGTGCCAATTAGGGGTATAATTTATCAACTCAGACATGAGTTGGATGGGTTTCATAAGGCTGCATACTTATAGACAGGGAAGGAGACATTTGATATTAGAGATGAGACATTTTAAATTAACTAGTTAATTTTATTTGGGCGTGGCTTATTTTTTTTTAAAGTATGGAACAAACCATCCATTTGATTATGTGATTATGTTGTTTTATGACTGGCCATGACCAATGGCAACCAATTTCAGGGTGCCTTGACACTTCCTAAAATTCCAAATTCTCAAAACAGACTGCCTTGCCTGCCTCTACTGAAAATCAGTTCTGTTGACTGGAGACTCACTTCTCAGCACATCTGCACAGACTTGCCGAATAAATTCTTCTGAGAAACCTCTTCCCTGCATTGAACAAAGGTATTTTAGAAAGTTTACACACATTGATTGCACCATGGAATGAACAGTAGTTGTTGTTTTTAAAACCCCATCAACTGATATACGCACGGGTTTTCCATCTGATCCAGAGATTCCTGGGAACCCCCTCTCTCCTTGTATTCCCCGTGGTCCTGGAGAACCCATCAAGCCATTCACTCCTGGTTCCCCCTTCTGACCATGGATGCCATGGAAGCCGGGATTTCCTTTCTCACCTATCTGAAATCCACACAAAAAAAGCAGTACTAAGCAACAGCAGAGTTTGCTACCATCATATTAACATTCTCAGCATCACGCATGGCCATTTTACAAATAAAGAATAATGCCACATATTGTTATGAGTCAGTCCATGCTATTTACTGCTATGGTCTGAATGTTAAATTTATCTATATAATATTAAAACTCTAATTTCTGTAACCTTTAACTGGATGAAACAGGGCATTACAGGGCAACAATTCTTGAACTAGGATACTACAAATGACCTAACTTAGAGACTGTACAAAATCTGGGAGCCATGACTCAGGAGGGAATGAAATTTGAGAAGGTTATAAGCTGCTTCAGTGCTGCTGTGGTCACATGATGCTCACTTTGAATATTCTGTGACAGTTTCCCAGCCATTCTCGCAATTACTCTCTCCCTCACCCAGCAGCAGCCACTGACATGCCTGCTGGAAAGGGAAGAGAGGAAGGATTTGCAAGAAAGGAACACATGTGTACCCTTCCCAGTCCATATCACCCCCTGAGTTCCCCCAACTGATCCTCCTTCCTCCATACTTTTCCCTGTCATGGCACCTCTTACATGCCCCCACATATCATCCTCTCTGAATTTTCTCCAACCTGTGTAGCATCTCTTCTGCATATCCTTCTTGAGCCACACCACTTTGCACATGCCTTATATGACTTGCATGGCACCTCTTGCACAGCCCTACATACATTTCTGATCTCAAACACCCTGTCACTCCCTCCCCTACCTGGCAGCAGCCACTTACCTGCCTGCTGGCCTTGGACTTGCAACTTTCTGCTGGCTTCCTCACTGATTTGCTCCTTGCAAGCTTCCCACAAGCAAAGTAAATGGAGAAGCTGGCAGAGGAGGGAGGGAGGGAGGGAGGGAGGGAGGGAGGGAGGGAAGGAAGGAAGGAAGGAAGGAAGGAAGGAAGGAAGGAAGGAAGGAAGGTAGATGTTTGATGCTCCCTGTCAGTTTCCCGCAAGGAAACTCAATGGGGAAGTTGGCAGAAAGTCAGAAGTTACTCCCATGCAACTATTTTGCCCATGCATGATCGTTCTGCTTTTCTGTTTAGGTAAGGAAATATCTCTGAAATAATGACCCAATGGGGCACAGGTTGTCTAATGCTTTACACCAAAAGTCCATTGCAAGAATAATCCTTTTCTCCCCCCCCCCCCCGAAATGCTGCTTAGATTGTTATTAAAACTGAAAAATATGAGATTCCATAGGGATATAAAAAGAGAGAGAAGTATTTTGTTTCAAGATTGTTAACTGATATAACTACTAAATCAGCCTTTTCCTATTTATTTCCTCCTTAATGTTTGGGAGTTGGAGACTTGGTTGCAGTGGTGGAATTCAATTTTTTTTACTACCGGTTCTGTGGGTTTGGTTTATTTGGCATGCGTGGCTTGTGGTCATGTGACTGGGTGGGTGTGGCTTAGTGGTCATATGACTGGGTGGGCGTGCTTGGTGGTCATGTGACTGGGTGGCGTGGCCAACTCAATGTCATTCACATCAAGGGGTGCCTCACCTGGCCCCTCCTTGTCCAGCCATTCCTTGTCACCCAGCCTCAACTTATCTATAGTTCTGTAAAAATGTTGTTCACCTTTTTTGACTTTATTATCTGCATACTATAGATGTACTTTCATGGACCACTGAAAGGAGGAAATGGCTCACATGCTTTACTCAAGAGTGTGATAGGCAACGCGCTTTTAAGGGGCTGCCACAAAGAAGGGGGGAAATGTATTTTCCAAAGCACCAGGAGGCAAACAAGAAGCAATGGATGGAAAGTGAACAGAGAGTAGCAACCTAAAACTAAAGAGAAACTTCCTGACAGTGAGAACAATTAACCAGTGGACCTGCTTGTCCCCAGAAGTTCTGGGTGCTCAATCACTGGAAGTTTTTAAGAAGACTGGACAGCCATTTCTCTGAAATGGTATAGGGTTCACCCCAAGGTCCCTTCTAAGTATTCTGAGGCCTTTCCCAGGATTTCTACTCAGTTTGGCATCCTCAGTTTTCTTTCCTGAGATGGGGGTTGGACTAGAAGACCTCCAAGGTCCCTTTCAACTCTTGTTAAACACATGTGTATTTTATGCTCTGGACTATAGACATTGAATGCATGAAAACCCTGAAAAATATGTGGTAGTCCTGGGCAAAAGAAAGGCAGAAAAATCACTCTAGGGGTAGGGACAGTGTAAAATATTAACACACGATAAATAATGGAACAATTAAAAATAATAGCACAGAGTTTTATCTCTCGCTTCCTATTTTTTCTTTCTTTGTCTTCCTTCCTTCCTCTCTTTCTTTCTTTCTTTCTTTCTTTCTTTCTTTCTTTCTTTCTTTCTTTCTTTCTTTCTTTCTTTCTTTCTTTCTTCCTTCCTTCCTTCCTTCCTTCCTTCCTTCCTTTCTTTCTCTTTCTTTCTTTCTTTTTCTTTCTTTCTCTCTCTCTTTCTCTCATACACACACACACACACACACAGAGCACTTAACAGACAAGTGTTTTGGAAGCAGCTCCTTTAAATTTCTCCAAGGCTTGAGTGGATTCCCCCACCCCCTCTGTCAGACCGCACTCTTTCTCACTCCAGGCACTTTACTCACACGGGGAAAGTGATACTTGCAGCGTCCATGCCTTTCTTCCTTTTCCCTGGGGAGAAAGAGGACGCGGGGAACGGAAAGCTAGGAGAGCGACTGGGCAACCGGGTTGGGGGCGTGGCCAGCCAGGGATTGCCACTGGTTAGGCGACCCATGCCAAATAACCGCTACCGGTTTGCCTGAATAGGTGCGAACCAGTTGAATAGCACCTCTGCTTGGTTGGGAATTTGGGGGAAGAATGCACAGAATGATATGCAAGCTTCTTCTTACAAGAGGACACTGTGGGTGCAATCTAATGCAGATCTTGAGTGCACTTCAGTTCATGTATTTCAATGGCTCCAAAATACAGTTAAGCCTATTCTGGAAAATCAGTCAGGAATGATATATTTTTTCTAAATAGCCAAATCCACCGCAACCGCAATGGAACAAACACTTGGGCAGACCTGGGTTTTTTTCCCATTGTGACGGTGATTAGTAGCACATCCTAATCCTGTTTTAACTTCCTTTCAAAACGAAATAATTCCAACGCCACAGACAAATCTGCAGAACTGAGATGATCCTTAACAAACTGAAATCATTTCTTTCATAAGATGCTCTTGTCTTCTGCCAGTCTTAGATAATATCAAGTTAAACTAAAATAACAATCGGAGTGGTAGCTAAGCACAATATAGATTGTGACATTCTGGCATGGGCCATTCTTTCTTCTTGGCTATTAGCAGGTTTCTGAACTTTTGAAATTCTGACAAAATGCTAACTTTGGAAAACAGAAAAGTCAGACAAAGTTGGCAACGCTCACTCTAAAAGAACTGGAGCATAGCAGCCTTCTAAAAGCCACTAACCTCCTATTCATGACCTTTAGTGCCAACCCTCAATTCCTGGCTCAGATAGTTTAAAATGGATAAAAATGCTAATCTTGTGATTGGAAAAAACTCTTCTCCTATTCAAAGAATATAATATAGATTATAAGAAGAAAATGAAAGCCAAGTAAAATAATTATATAGTATAAACTTCATAAATTGAAATAGTAGATTTAAAATACCTATGAGGCATTCATTAATAGGGTATGCATGTAGCTTTGGCCTAGCCCTGAGGAGATTCTCCACTGATCAAAATCTTTCTCAAATATTTAAAGCTATCAACTGGGTGGGAAGAATAAACTAAAAAAGGGAAAAGCAAAAATGATCCAAGCCTTATGTGTCTTGGGAGAAAGAATAAGACTCAAAGTACAATAACTAAAGTTGAATATAAATAGACATTATTTAAAAAAATGAAAAAATGATCTCAAAACTATAAAGAAGTAAATAAAAAGACATATAAAATCAAAGGAAAAGAAATGTCTTTGTTATATATGTTTATGATGTAGTTGAAACTAAAGGAAACCAGTTATTTAACATTCTTCTCACTTTTTGAGAATCATTAATGGGGGTAGGTGGCCTTTTCTAAGCCTGAAAAGCAGAATAAGGGCTTGACTAGTTCTTGCAAGAAAATACCAATGCTGTAGACTAAATTGGGAAGTGAAAAAGCATCTCAGAAGACAAAGGTAAATCTGTTCCTTTGTGAGCCAAGAAAATTACACTGCTGTATCCACAAGGCTAATCAGGAGTCAAGATCAAACTTAAGGAGACTAATGAATTGAAACCTTCTTGAAAGGCTGCAATTATAGTTCCCAGAATTCCAAGTAACAATGTTGTTCACTGGCTACACTAGTTTGGAATTCTAGGGTAATTAAACATACCACACAACTAATTGCTTGAGATTGACTGATATTTGAATCTATATTTAAGCTCTACGTTTAAAGTATGATTATACTAAGCAATGCGACATAAAATCAATGCTCAAACTCGCAGTTGATACTCAGAAAAACAGAAAAGAAATGAGTATGAAACAAAAAAACAGCACGTACCTCTCCTTTATCTCCTTTTAATCCCATAGATCCCTTTTGGAGTCAAAATTGTAAAACACATAATGAGTTATTGTGAAAATGTACTATTTCTACTGACACATAGTTAAATTTACTTACATTAAAATGTACATTTAAAAAAACACACAAAGTTTCCAAGCAACTCCAGTTGCAAACTATCTTTTTCATCTTGACATCTAACAGCTTGAAGTACTATTTTTTTTCCAGCAAGGAAAAATCCACTCTGCATGATTAAGATGGGAAAAATATACTCTTTTAAAACTAAACATATAGACTTGGATCCAAAACTCTTCTTAGAAAAATGCAGCTAATAAAATCATCTCATTTCGTGGATGCAAGTGAGAGGCAAGAAATTGTAGCTGAATCCTCCTCTCTGAAATCAGACAAAAGATGCTCCAGGTCAGAAAAAAAATGGGACTGCGGTGTCCAATTTAAACATCGTGGAAAATGTGTCCATTGGTCCAGTCAGGCTCTCTGTTTTATCATCCTTCAAACAAAATCTTTTAATTAGAAATAAAACAATGGGGAGCCATGAAAAAAGGGCAGGCCTCCACCATCATTTTTTGTTTTAAAAATAAAGATAAAAGTGGTAAACTTTGTTTACTTGGCAACTAGCAAATGCACCCAGAAGGGAGGGAATGGGGTCTGGGTGTTGCAGGAGAGGAGCACTTTTGTGATAAAAACAGGTATATTGTGACTGATCACATGACAGCTATTTATGACAATCTAAGTATATGTTGTCAGCACACGTAGTCCTCGACTTAAAACAATTCATATAATAAAGTTACAACGGCACTGGAAAAAGTGACTTATGGCCTTTTTTCACACTTATGACTGTTGCAGCATCTCCATGGTCACATAATCAAAATTTGGACCTGGTAATTGGCTCATATTTATGATGGTTGCATTGTCCCGGGCCATGTGATCACCTTTTGCAACCTTCTCACAAGCAAAGTCAATAGGGAATCCAGATTCATTTAACAACCATGTCAATAACTGAACATCTGCAGTGATTTACTTAACGGTGGCAAGAAGGGTGGTAAAATGTGGCAAAAGTGTCTCACTTAGCAGCAGAAATTTTGGGCTCAATTGTGGTTGTAAATCGAGGATTAATGGCATATTCCTAAAATGTCCATCAATCCAAAATATTTCTAGTATCTGGTGTGAGAAATTAACCAGAGCCTTATGAGAACTGCTAAAACCAATGTGTAACAAGCTTTATTTGAGGATAAATGAATGGAAAAAACACATTACCAGCAAATATGTCCTGTAAGAAATTGTGGAATTTAAAAAGGACTTGATAATCTCTCCTTCTCACCTTATGGCCTGGAGTACCGGTTTTGCCTCCTTCACCCTTTTGACCCTTAAAAAAAAAAACCAACTTGGTTACTGATGTGAAATGGGATATCCACACAACTACATATAGGTTGGATACTAACAAATTTATTCATTTATTTCAATATATCTGCTTGGATGATTACATGTAGACTTCAAACAATACACACACCACACCTGATTTATAACCTGAAGCAAACGAGTAGGAAAGTTAATTTGGATCTTAATTTTAAAGAATTTTAAACCAAAGATGTAAAAATAGCTTAAGAAATGTCAAAAAAAGACATCAGAAAAGATTTTCTACAGGTGTAACATCAGATAGAACTTTAATAAAACACACATACACACAGAGCACTAAAATAAACAATGGGGAGTTGGGGGACTGAAAAAGAGTCTTAATTAGTTTGATGTAGTCGGTAGCTCTGTCATGCTTTGATGTAACTTGTTCATATTCATTGTGTTAAAACCTCAATAAAACGTAATACTAATGTGTCATCTTAACTTTAGAATTGTGTCTTACATAACAAAGGTGCCAATCTGTTCCAATTAGATCCTCCACATACTCTCAACTAACAAGCCAACCAGCTTAATTAACTGTACAAGATCACATTTATGATCCTGGGGTGGTAGTTTGTTCTGTCTAGCACAGGTCAGAAAACGAAACCCAAAATGATCTATGGCTTCTCTGATTGAACAATAAAGCACTGTTTCACATGTAATGCAAAGTTTTATAGCTTACATTCTTTTCATCAAGCAAGCTTTATTCCTAGTTATACCATAACTTAAAAAAAGGAAAAAGCAGCCTACCTGGATGCCTTTTTCACCCTGATTTCCTTTCTCTCCCTGAAAAGTAAAAATCAATCTCTTGTTGAACTGTTATTTGTAACCGTAATAGTGAAATTAAACTAACACAAATTAAAAACTATCACAGATAGTCCTTGACCTACAACCACAACTGAGCCCAAAATTCCCACTGCTAAGCAAGGCAGTTGTCAAATAAATGTTGCCCCATCTTATGACCTTTCTTGCCACAATCATTAAGTGAATCCCTGCAGTTATTAGGTGAACCATATGGTGGTTAAGAGAATCTGGCTTCCTTAATTGACTGCTTGTTGGAAGACAGCTGGGAAAGTTAGAAAAGATGATCACATGAATTTGGGGCCGTGCAACGGTCATAAATACATGCCAGTGCCAAGCACCCAATTTTTATTGAATTACTATGGGGATGCTGCAACAATTTTAAGTGGGAAAACTGGTCACAAATCACTTTCAATGCCACTGTAATTTAAAATGGTCACTAAACGAATGATTGTAAGTCAAGGACTATCTGCAGTTGTATTTGTAGAAATGTCTTGTTTTTCCCTGACATCATGAAATATGTTTATAGAAGGCAATGTACAATCTCTCAAATAATAGTTTGCACATCTTAGAGCTATGCTAGCACATGGCATTACACAATTTCCATTTTTAATTTCATATATCTAATCCTTCTTGGCATGCCAGTTCATTAGACCACATCATTGTTCAAATTCTTTTGCACCCACATTTCTGGATCCTACTTATTTGTTTAAACAATTTTAAACAAAGATTCTCAATGCAGTAACAAGTGTATCAGTGTATCGTTCTGCTTTGATTCAGGAGCCCATGATATAAGAAGAAAATCTGATGCTAGAAAAAGGGTATTGCAAGTGTTTAAAGTCTTTAGAAACTGAAAGATCTTCAGAAGACACTCATCTTCAGCTGCAAATAGGATTTTACTGTTGCATTTGGGTAAATTCTTGCCCAATTTCCCTAAAGGCCACTAAAAGTCTTTTTAAATGAAGATGTCCTGTAATGTGTAATTTTAATACACTATTTGAAATAACTTATTTCCCCAAGTGTAAATTTATAATGTTGAAAAGAAAATTAGTTGTTCCTAAAAGGCTATTTCAGAATATTGTAAAGCTTATGTGCTTTGTATCTATTGAGATACTGAATTAATGTCTAGGAAGAAAACTGTAAATGTGATAAAAACAATATTTTACTTCATAATACATAACGTATTCATGGCCTTTGGAGTGATGGAAATAAAAAAAATGTGGTGGAGGGTACAAGTTAGAACTCATAATAGAAAAGTATAATTTCACCCTCCACTACCATCATGTTTTTTTGTATCCATATCTCCAACAGCCATGTATCATATAACCTTATGGAAAGATTGATATGACAAGCCATGTAATATCTTTCTCTCCAATTATTATACCATGCAAGCGGGACTTTTTCAAATGTAATTTTCCTATGTTAAGCTTTCAGTGGCCTTCAATACCATCAGCCATTGGATTCTTCTCAATGGGATCAGAGGTATTGTTTGGTCCTGTCTAATCCTAAAGTGAGGTTCTACTTGATGGTGATGAAATAAGTGAAATGGTGACTTTAGCCATTCAATGTAACTTCTTCTTGAAATCAAGTTTAGTGCGATTAACCTTGAGTTTGTACCTATTGTTTGCTCTTTTGTTGTTATGGTTGAAGCTGAAGCATTCATTGACAGGCAGGACATTGCAATGTATGATTTTATATACTATACTTAGATTGGATCGAAGGCGGTGTAGTTCTAGGTTTTCTAGGTCTAGAATTTCGAGTCTGGTGGCATAAGGTATTCTGCAACGAGTAGAGGAGTGGAGAACTCTGAGGGTGCGCAGGTGTCAGAGCATGGCCTGAGCATGCTCATATTGGACATGGTTACAGGTGGGTGCATGGGTAGCCATCAAGACAAGGTACAAGTGTAGCAGGGCCAGGGATGGCTGCTGCCAGCTTTGCAAGATGGCATGAATGGCCATCAAGGTGCTCTGCAAATGCAGGAGAGACAGAGGTGCTATGGCTGCCATAGCTGGGTATCTCAGGGGGAAAAACACTGGACTACAAGGGACTGACCAGTGCAAATTCCAACCTTCTCTGCCAGCTTTCGTATTAACTTTGCTTGTCTGAAGGCAACAAGGTACATTGCAAATGGTGATCACATTATTGTCCCAAGGTGTTTTTTTAAAAAGGCAATTGGACTTTCTTAGTTTTTCCCTGAAGACATTTCACTTCTCATCCAAGAAGCTTCTTCAGTTCTGAAGAAGAATTAAAGAAGCTTCTTGGATGAAAAGCTAAACATCTTTAACAAAAAAACAAAAAAAGCTAATTCCCTGTTGAAAAACCATGATCTGGATGACTGAGAAACTCCATAGACATGATCCCATATGTGGGATAATGCAACCATCCTAAGCGCAAGGCGGTAGCTAGCACCCAGGTCGCAATCACAAGATTGCAGGGATGCAGTCTGCTGGAATGACTAAAATTTCAAGGAAATATTTCACAAGAAGAGTTCTCCATTCCTCTACTCATTGCAGAATACCTTATGCCACCAGACTCGAAATTCTAGACCTAGAAAACCTAGAACTATGCCGCCTTCGGTCCAATCTAAGTATAGTATATAAAATCATACATTGCAATGTCCTGCCTGTCAATGAATACTTCAGCTTCAACCATAACAACAAAAGAGCAAACAATAGATACAAACTCAAGGTTAATCGCACTAAACTTGATTTCAGGAAATACGACTTCAGCAACAGAGTGGTTAATGTCTGGAATACTCTACCTGACTCTGTGGTTTTTTCCCCAAACCCCAAAAACTTTAACCTTAGACTGTCTACTATTGACCTCACTGCTTTCCTAAGAGGTCTGTAGGGGGCATGCATAAGCGCACCAACATGCCTACCGTCCCTGTCCTATTGTTTCTTTTATATATATATTTTTTATTTTTCTTATATATAGCCATGTATTCTATGTATTCTATAAGTAAAAACTATGTTTTTACTTATACCTATTTTCTTGTAAGCAATTGACAAATAAAAAAATAAAAAAATAAAACTATCTTTAAGTACCATTATTATAACTTTGAACACAAAATTATTGGTTGGTTTTTTCCTTATGTTTTGTGGAATTTCACAGATGAGAGCCCCCAAAGTATTATGATTACATGGGGAACAAAAGTTGTCTAAATTAAACAAATAAATATTTACTAAAGTTTCTTCTCTTCTAAGGAAGGCCAAACATGAAATTTAATCCACTGATTTCTATCTTTGTACTAATATTACACGGACAAAACAAATGATTCTAGATAGATATTCATATGTAAAAGCTAAGTTGAACATTTAAAAAAAATATCATCTGAGGTTAAGGGAATTGTCTGAACTAGATGTACTTTTGATTAATAAAACTTAGTAGTGTAACCATATATTCTGAGAAGAGTCCTGAAATTGCTGGTTCTGATTGGGAGAAATGCAACTACAAAGTTAACTTTTTGTCTCATGGTCTTAAGTATTACATTTGTAAGTGTAATTCACAACTAAAAGCTCACTGATTCTTTGGGCTTTGTTATAAAAGGAAATACAGATTCATAATAATAAATTGAAAAAACAACAGGCATACCTTCAAACCGGGAGGACCAGGCATGCCAGGATAGCCTGGTTCACCTGAATCACCCAGTCTTCCTTGTTCTCCCTAAGAAACCAAAAGGATGCCATAAATAGGAAACTACACCTTATGAAAATACATTGTTCTTGTGAAGCTGTGGAGACAATCCTGCAAATACCTGATTAGAAAGCACATGGATGATAATGACTTTAGACTTTTCTCCTGGGCCTTCACATTACAGTTGTGCAAAATCTTAAGAAGAGGTTCTTCACAATGTGAGGGTGCACAAATGAAATGGCTCTTTAAACTCTTTACATAGTGTTAAAGTCGCCATTCTGTATGTAGCTGTCCCACTGCCCCAGCAAGTATTTCTTTCATATTCTTATTTTTTCCCAGCACTTGTCAGAGAAGAAGACTTATATCTGGGTGGGCGGGGTGTGTGTGTTCCTGAATATTTCCACCACAGAGTAAATCCCTGCAATATTTTGCTATCAACTGAGCTGTAAACATAACAAGCTTGATAAAAACTCATAAGCACATTCATTATTCTTGGCTTTGCTCAGAATACAGAAAATATCCATCAACATTACGAAAATTGAACTGTTTACATAAAAGCACAGCTCTTCTATCATAATCCTGATAAAATGATTTCAGAACTTGATTTATGCAAACATTTAAAAGAACTGCATTGTTAAATCATTTTTTAAAATCGCCTCATTTCAAATTGCTACAAGCATTTAGCCAAGCAGTTCCCCACTAGTCCATGACAGACAGAAATTTAAACCGGGAATGGGGCTCTAGGTTCAGGTAGCCTTTGACTTATAACTACAATTGGAACTGAAATTTCCATTGCTAAGTGAGGCAGTTATTAAGTGAGTCATTTCCAATTTTGCAATCTTTCCTCTGTGGTGATTAAGCAAATCACAAGGGTTGTTAATTAATCACACTGTTTTTCAGTGATTCTGTCTTCCCCCATTGACTTTGCTTATTAGAAGCTGGCTGGGGAAGTTGCAAACAGCAGTAATGGAACCCTGGGACAGTACAACCATCATAAATATAGTTGTCAAGGACCCAGATTTTGACCCTGCAACCACAGAGGTGCTTCAACGGTCATAAGTGTGACAATTGATAATAAGTCACTTTTTCAGCACCAATATAACTTTGAATGGTCACTAAACAAATGACCATAAGTCAAGGACTATCTGCACTTTCAACAATTGTTGTTGTCTTTTGGAAATGTTAGACGTAAAGGGCCCTGGTTAAACTTTGTGCGGATGTCAACATGAGCCATGGTTAAAAGTGACAAAAATTAACATGAGAAAGGAGGTATGAGACATGAATAACTGTATGTGGATACTGGCCCTCAATCCTAGAACATATACATCCCTGCAGCTTCTGGAAGAGAAAATTCCACCCATAAACATAGCTCATATTTTTTATGTTAATAAGGAGTTGCTAATGTAGGTAGTTTGTCCTCTAATTAACAGGAGAAGCCTACCGGTTTTTTTAAAGTAATCACAAGTTCATTTCAGCAAGAGAGAAATGTACACTAAACACAAAGCAAGCATAATTTTTATGTTAATAGAAGAATGCAGTTCCTTGCCTCACGACACACTGAAACTTAGCCAAATTTACCTTGGTGCCTGGATTTCCTGATTTCCCTTGGGGTCCTTGTTCACCCTTGTTGCCCTATGAGTATGAGACTTTTATTAGTAAAACAAATTGTACAAAATGTTTAGGCAGATAAATTAAATGAATAAGCCAGGTTATATCACTGCAACCATTCCTTTCGGGAGCTACCTCTTTTCTGAAACTCCCTTATTGTAATGAATACAGGGTAATTTAAAGCAGTATCATGAATTGTTGCTGTATCTGAGTGAGTGTGCTGCTGTGTGCAAGAGAATAGGGGAACATATTAGAGAATGAAAGGGGAATAGTTACAGTTCAGTTTACAACTTCATCTGTTTTCATTTCTGACATACATGAAGGAGATACATTGAAAGACTGCAATACCAGGCTTTTGGCAGTTACAAAGTCCAGCACAATAAGCATGGATGTAGAAGCTTCAATGTACAGATGTTTTACCATCCAAGATTTCTACAAGAAGCACATAGACTTCAACCTACTCAGATAAGCTAGCCCCCTTCCAATTTAAGGAAAGAACTGTTTTTTTCAACTTTGGACAGAATGAAATAATCTTTAAAAATCATGTATTTCCTGCATATATTGAGCTTCCTGTGCTCCCAAATATTGACTTCACTATGCTAGAGTTCAGAAGTTTACATGTATTTGATTTTTCTCTTGTTTACTTATAATTTAGATCATATTTTTTAAGATTTTCTTTTTTACAAGTCAAGGCAGAAAATATACCTTAGGACCAGGACCTCCAGGTAAACCCAATGATCCCTCAGGTCCAGGAAGACCCTGAGAAATAGAAACAAAAACAGATATACATAAACAACCCCCAATATTTCTTTTTAAAAATGAGAAAGATGTAACATAACCAATACAGATTATGTTACAATTTCTTCTAACATGAACCTTTCATTTCTTACATCTGAATAATACAAATTGAAAATGTGTGTATATTGCAGTATGTTATTGTATTCCACCTCTTTTTGCCTTATATTTTTACTTTCAGTTGAACATTTACTATTAATTCCTTCCAAATACAAATAGATATAAGGTTTATATATTTATTATTTAGAGAATGATAATCTGTTTTTCTAACAGCCTTTCCAAAGTAGGGAGTGCTCTTTCAGAGACAATATGCTTGCTTTAAAAACCAGGCATTTCTACTACTCTACAAGTCTATATTCCTCTGAATCCATTCTGCCTTACACGTATACAATTTCAATTTATTCAGTACAGTGGAAAAATTTCCTCACAATGGAAAAGAGAAATAAGAGATGGATGAGGGACCAGTTGAGCAAATAACATTGTCATCAATACTAAACTTACAACCTGACACTGAAACCAAATTAAACAACAAAGGGCAGAGTGATCCAAAAATATATATTGTGTGAAGTGCTTGACCAGGAAAAATGCTGAGAGGCTTCTCCAAGATAAGCAGCAACAGTGGGATCCTGCTTGGACTCTGGCAACCGCAAGAGAAACTTGGGCTTAACTCCACTAAGGCATTATTAATTTTCTCTCTTCTCCTCTGGGAGTGCCAATTAAAGCTACATAGTTGTTAGTGCCTCCTAAGTGCAATGATCCATTAATTAAGGAAGGTTAGAACATAAATATTTAATATTACCAACAGTTATAAAATGTACAAATGATAAACTAGCATATGGAATACACACTTGCTCCTTCCCTTGCTTTCTTTCCTATTCCTTTCCCATAATCAGTGTTTACGTTATATTTGCCCAAGCATTAAGTACAATGAATTCAAATTGGCTTCCTGCCAGTCAAGCCTATTTCAAACCTCTGCTTGAAAACCCTCTGTTTATAATTGATCAAGTGTGCATGTAACTGGTGCTTTATGTATGGCTCAGGTTCAAACCAAACATAATACTAAACAGTTTATCAAAACTACGTTCTTAAATTTAACTGCAAGCACAAGGTGCTCAAATAATTCTGTTTTCACTGGAATCACAGGGCGATTTAACCTTTTTTGGCCTAGCCATAATGCCTGTGAAACATGCCACTCTAGGATAATGTTTTTTGTTCATTTAAAAAGCTCGATACTAAATATATAAATATTTTGTAATATGATTTTTCATAAACTAAGAAGCAGTTTGACATAAGCCACAGGCACAAAGCCAACAAAAGAGAGAAAGAATTAAAGCAAAAAATAGAACAAGAATTTTTCCAAGGTTGGTGTTATTGATAGCCATGACTAAAAAACCTGCTCCCTACCAAAAAAACCCCCAAAACTTGAAGAATCTATAAAACTAAAAGAAGAATCTTTACATGTTTCCTACAAAATCAAAAAGGCCAATCCCATATTCTGCATCTTAATTTAAGGACAGACTTTTTTTGGGACATAAATTCTTTGCAAATAGGCTTTTTTATACAGTATGGAGCACTGACATGAAGAGCCTGTACCCTTTGAAATGCTACTAAATCACAGCTCCCATCAGCCCTAGCCAACACTGCAAAACACAAGAGATGCTAGGAGATAGAATACAGCAACATCTGAAAGTCCCCTGGCTCCTCACTCATAATGTAGCAGTTTTACAAAATTAGCCAAAAATGATGCAACAAGAATAAAGCAAGTTTTTAAAATACTGTATGACAAACTATTGCTACTTCTTTCTCCAAAACTGAAGTTACTCATGGCAAATATATGATTGAAGCTGGCAACTATAATAGGAATATTTTTTTTAAATTTCTGATGAAATTTCCCTCAGGTATTACATGGAATTGTCAACAAGATTTTCATCCATTCTCTTCTGGAACAACTACTGTAACTAACAGCAAATAAATTTTACTTTATATTCTGGCTGGTTTCTCTTCAACCACTCTAAATATTTAAATCTTCCCTGCACTTGAAAGTAAATGGATTCTAGCAGGGAAGAAGAGAATGAAACATAATCGTAATAAATGATCTGTAAAGTGTACTATTCAAAGAGATACTGGCCTTCCTGTACATGCAGAAACCATCTTGGAGAAAACCATAACTACCATGCTTGCAAAGCAACTCTCCTTGAAGCATTATAGTACTTTCCGAGATTACACCTAACAACTGAAAGATGAAGCCTCTTCCAAAATCCTTCCCTATTAAAATGGGGCTATGTCTACATGAAGAATTCCCATCACTTTGAATTTACATTGGTGACAGCTGCCATCTGTTCAAAATTAGCGTACCATCCATTCTGGAAAAAGAATCACTTTGTGGAAGCTATTAACAGGTCAGAACAGAGGCGCCTCCTTGTTATAAAACAGTTCAATGTGATGGAAAGAATCATAATTTTCAAGTTCCCTACTAAGTGCATGATACGACACGTGTCCTGTTAAGAGCTCACGCAGAACATTTGAAAGGATCCTTAAGGCAACAAATAGTCTCCAAAAGCATTTAACTTCAATTTCCATGCAGTATTCAGTATGCATTAATTCAGGACAGTGCATCTGCAGCATAATTGGTTTGTTTTCATGATGTTATACTGGCTTTCTTCTCTATTTTAAAACTAGCATTTTTGTCTTTTCAAGTTCAGCCATTGTCAAAGGAATTAAATTTCCAAATCATTTCATTCAAACATATTGACTTCTGGATTTTACAGTTGCTATCAAAGTATAATAGAGAAATAGATAGTATGATTTTCTTCAAACCACGACTCCTATAACTGTAGCATTTTGCCACAACACTTCAAAAAAAAATGGAATAACAAAAACATACAGGTAACCCTGGTGATCCTTTTGTCCCTTCTTCTCCTGGCAGCCCATTTTCACCCTATGATAAATTTAAAAATCAAAGCATTATTTAATATATTATAGAATGCACTATGGCAATAGTACTTTAAAGCAAAAAAAGGAGGAAATCTTTCTATATAAAATCTACATCCTGATAAATACCTTATCTCCTTTTATTCCTTGAGCTCCAGGGATCCCAGGAATTCCCTTGGGAAAAATAAATTAAAACATATTAAATAGAAGCATCGCTGTGTTTCTCATTTGAAGTTCTTTATTCATTCTCCAATTATCCTTGGAGATAAATTACACATTCATATCACTGCGATATCAGACTTGAAACAGAAGTTGTAAGTCCATGCTTATCTCTGAACGACTAGCCATTATGAGGAAACACAACTGTGCACATTGGTTAGAAACAGCTGCATGTTGGCAGTATCACCTATTATATTTGTATGTGTGTCCACCTCTCCATCCCAGATTGCATGGTCTATAATCTTTGAGCTGTGAATCAACAGAGGAAATGAGTCAACATTAGAATTCTTGACTGATTCTTGAGCATGACTCAACAATGCACAAAGGGAGGCATCGGAAATATCTTGATCTGGAACTTTAATCACATACCCAATTGTTCTTATGAAGGATTAAACTTACATAGCTGATTCTATCCTGGGCTCCTAGCTTATTAAAAAACTATGGAATCACTGTGCACAATGAATCTTCAAAAGTATTTTTGAACTGATTTTAATTATTTTCTCTCACTGTAACAATGTCCCTTGTGTCTACAAGAGAGTAATCTTTGTTTCAAGAGAATGTTTTTGCATGAAACTTCCTCTGCTTTCTTTTTTCTGTTTTATTTTGGGGATATTGTAAAATATTAAGAAAAATATGTTTCATCTCAAAAACAGCTGGATTATCTTTTATTTTTGGACTGAGATATTTTCTGCGAAACTAAAAAAAAACCACAATGAGTTCTTTATTTTAAAAAGAAAAAAGAAAATCTAATTTCCATCCTCATTGTAGCAAGGTTTGGGTTGTGACCCTTTCCTCCTACACCATAAAAAGCATTGGCAAGAAAACACTCAGAAAAGTACTTGGTGTCTCTGCTGGAAAACCCTGCCTATCTAAATACAGTTGTGCTTTTTGGCTTGGTTTGGCTTGAGTCTATTCAACTCCCTACATTCACAGTGGCTGTGACTCATTTAATGACCACCAAGGCTCATGGCACCCACAATCATTTAACCTTAGCAGAAGTGACTTCATCACACAACTTGCATACCACAAACAGAAGCTGCCAGTTTTCTTTGCTACTGGAAGCCACAGGGAAAAAAAACAACAGCTTTTGCCAGGGGTGAACGTATCATATGATTTATTTGCTAGGAGCCAAGAACAGCCACATGCTGAATTTTATAAGGGAATCTTCAACTTAGACCTCATCTATCACACTGTGATAATCATAAGAAGCTAGGGTAATACATTTGCCCACAAGCACACTTTGTCTCCAAAGAGCTAACACATAGTAATTACATTCTGAAGGTAATATTTTTCAAAGGACAACACAGAATTAATGTTCATTAAAATGTATAGTATACTTGTATATAATCAAAGTGGCACCCCTTTTTTCAATTGAGCCATTTGGGAACAATAGCAATAGCAATAACACTTAGACTTATATACCACTTCATAGTGCTTTACAGCCCACTCTAAGTGGTTTACAGAGCCAACATATTGCCCCCAACAATCTGGGTCCTCATTTTACTGACCTTGAAGGATAGAACTGCCAAACTGCTGGCAGCCAGTGATCAGCAGAAGTAGCCTGCAGTACTACATTCTAACCACTGCACCACCGCACTAAGTGACCATATATCAAAATTAGCTAGTATAACTTTTGCTTATGCACATGCTAAATATGTTGATATCCTATGAGTCTGCTGTTGGAGAGACTCGCGCTGCATTGAAAGTAACTAGATTTACAATAGAAATCACAGAAGAGAAGAATGTCAATGATGGGCATTCTTTCATATATCGAGGTCCCAAGACTTCTCCAACCATTTTGCTTGGAGTGATAAAAGTCAAAGCCTGGAGCGATTCTCTTTATTTATTGAAATGGACTGATTTATAAATTAATAAATAGAAAACTAGCATAAACTGATCACTATTAGAATTGAATGGTCTATAGAGTCTGATCTAGAAGGTCTATTTATATGGCCTGTAAGAATTGAAACAGACTTGATCAATCACTCCATTGATCAAAAGTCCAATCAAAACAACAATCCAGCAATCATAATTAATTTTTAATTATATAATTTTAAAAAATTCTGGCTAACCCACCACTACAACAAGGAAAAGCTATGCACAATCTCAAACATGGTCTTCTGAATATTGTTTTTCAGGAAGGCACTTTTAGATGTTTTTCATTCTTTCTGAGTTTTACAAAAAAAACCTGTAGGTTTGTTTCCTGTAATATTTTTTGTGTTAATAGTGACTGATTTTAGTTCATGTTTAATTAGAGATACACCAAAGCAGGCAAAGCCCATATTATATATTTATTATTTATACATTATAAAGAAGAGTTCTGCCGTACAAAGAGAGTTTTCCCCCATGCTATCATTTCATTAAACAACTAATTTCCACATCACTGTCTATCCACAGGAGTCAAACTTGTCACGTCATGTTGCCATCACATGATGTAATGTGCCTTTTTTCCCTTCGCAGAGCTGTGGTGTGTTTGGCCTGCACATGATGCATCCGGCCAGCAGGCAGCCACCCCAGGTATGCCCTGGGATGACACCCCAGGTATGACACCCCAGGTATGCCCTGGGATGTCAAACCACTCAGCAGGACTGTATTAATTATCATCCTTCTCATCTGTCCTATTTCATAATTCCTTAGTTTCTTCTGACTATAACTTGTTGTATCTCACGATTTATGTTGGTTGCTTTTATTTAACATCTAATTATGATTTATGTTGATTGCTTGAGTATCCCATCACTGAGTGTTGTATCTATGATTTATGATTATTGTATTTTAGCATTATGATTATCACTTGTTGCTTGTATGTACACTGAGAGCTTATGCACCAGAGACAAATTCCTTGTGTGTGTCCAATCACACTTGGCCAATAAAAGAATTCTATTTCTAATAAGTTTTGTTATACTTCAAGTGGCAGATAATTTTTTAAACCTGCCTCAGGATAGTTGAAGAATTATTAGCAATCATGTTCAGTTTCAGCTTAAAAATAATATATTTCCACCAAATGTGCTCAAAAGTAGCCTTCACTTTGATTCTTCTTATGGTATCTCCACATGAGAGTTCACTATGGTTGACACCTACATTTTTATGAGTAAAAGTTAAAGAGGGAAGAATCACTTCACATCTGGGTGGATCTTATTAACAGGAAAACCCATTTATTTTCTGTTCAAAATTAAATTTCCTTGTTACATAACATTTATTCCTTGATGCACAGATAGCTGCCAGGAGAACAATAGAGAACAGACCATTTGGCAAAGATTACAACTGAAAATTTTAAACCGAGAATGCTCTGCAAGTCACAGAGAAGAAAGGCATAGAGTTCTGGGAAGAAAGGTTATTCTGAAGTAGATAGTGTTTTCTTTCTCTAGTCTGTCAAAAGCATGTGGCGTAAGAGGTCCCTGACAAAGGGTGAATATTTGGTCAAATACTGACAAATGAGTCTCACGTTTTTTTATTTCTTTTTTTTAGAATAAACACAAAATACTTCAGCACAGTTATAAAATTGTTGCTTGATTTCAAAAGTTAATTACCTTTTTATACAAATGAATTAACAACATTAATCAACATCAATCAATAGACACCACCTATCTCCTGTAAACCTTGGCCTCAAAAACTCTAAGAAAAAGTGTTAACAAGCTTATAACTGCAAGGAACATAAATCCTTCCATCCTCCACCATTTGATTAGAGCTGAAGTAGCTTCTTGGATGAGAAGCAAAATGTCTTCGAGGAAAAGCAAAGTCCAGTTGCCTTTTGAAAAAGTACTTTTGGAATATACCACCCAGAATTTCATCACTGAAACCGTTTGGAATATGCTAAATGAATAAACTAAATGAATAATAAGGAATGCTTGTAGTGACATTAGAAATATGTTGGTAGCAGGTATGACTGTTTCATTTATTTTTTGTTTTGTTTTGCTTATAATGTTGTGCTATTGGCTGACAATCCAAGTGAGGTGTATGGTGATTTTTAGACTCTGTAGCTCCTCCATGAAGAGAATCAATCTGAAAATCACTGTGTCAAAGACCAAGATGGTTATTAAGTCCCTGATATTTTGTTCTGGGTAGAAGTAATATCTTCAGTACTACCTAGGTACAATGCTAGCACTGATTATGTTGCCTGGTTAGGTAATAAAAGGTCTGCAAGAAAACAGACAGCACCAAGGACCCCACAACTGTATATCTGTCCAAATGATAGGATCAAGAAACAATGCAGTGATGGGATTCAAATTTTTTACTACCGGTTCTGTGGCCGTGGCTTGGTGGGCATGGCAGGGGAAGGTTATTGTAAAATCTCCAGTCAGAGGTGGTATTTGCTGGTTCTTTGAACGACTCAAAATTTCCACTACTGGTTCTCCAGAACTGGTCAGAACCTGCTGAATATCACCTCTGAAACAATGGGTGGTAAATTAAACAATTGCATAGTAAATACAGATAGGAAATTAAACATGAAGTATAAATTTCAATATGTTTCTAAATAATGAAAACTGCTGGCTTTATTCAATTTAATCTGCACCATATAACATCTAGTTTTTGTGAGCATTACATTAACTGAGATGATAAAGAATGTCTGTCTCTGATCAAACACTAACTCAAAGCAGATTCTCCATACAATGGTTAAATAACCGAGGGAAACAGAATTTTTGGATGCTGTACAAATGGGAAAAATGCCACTCTCTGGGAGTATTATAAAAGCTGTATGGAGCATTTCATGAATCACTGGCTGTTGGAAAGGCAGTCTTAGGGAAAGTCCTTTGTGGAATTAACAGTATATCCTCTATTGGAATATGAGTGGAGAATTTTAATTTGCAATCCAATTCTCTTGCCTGCTCTAGAAAAATTGTTTTCTGTAGAACATGGTAAAAGGATAGTCAAAGCAGTATAGGGTAGGATGACAAGTAGTTCCTGGGCTATGACTAGAATTGAGCCTGGCAAACATGGTCATAAGTTGTGACAGTTGTAAAGTGGCTAAGTAAACCCAATTTTATGAAATTTTGCAGTAATTATTAAGCAAAAACCACAGACATCAAATAAACACTGCAATCATTAAGTTGAGCCGATTGTTCACTTTGGGACAGTTTTTGCCAGAAATGGGAAGTAAATGCCTGTTTCTTGCAAAACCATTGTAAATTGAGGTCATGTGACTGCAAATGGCCATGAATGCAGGTAAGTTGCTAAGCACCCAAAACATGGTCACGTGACCATGGCGGAGGCAACATTGGAACTTTGAAACCAGGTCATAAGTAGATTTTGGAGGTCTAGCATGCTTCATCATATGTTGAGGACTACATGCACTAAAAAGCTATTGAAGAATCAGAAACTAAAGTAATTAATAAAATGTTGACACTCCCTCCAAGAAGGAAAAAAATAAAATGTGGAACAGAAAAATGGAAGGGTCCAGGAAACTCTGGATCATGAGCTCAGCAGGCAGAATTTAGGAGGAAGAATAATGACAAGCTAGAATTTTGAAGAACTTGGGATTATGATAAAAAATATGCAACTTAAAGGCTTAGAGATGTTTGGATCAAAAAAATTTAGTTCCTGACAGACATGACTTTATTGTTCTTTCTTTCTTTCTTTCTTTCTTTCTTTCTTTCTTTCTTTCTTTCTTTCTTTCTTTCTTTCTTTCTTTCTTTCTTTCTTTCTTTCTTTCTTTCTTTTCTTTCTTTCTTTCTTTCTCTCTCTTTTTTTCCTATCTATCTACCTGTATCTATCATCATCGCTCACCACTCACTTTTGGAAATAGATGAAGATGCAAACCTTACTTCCGGTTACTGATACTTACCAGGATGAGGAAATGATGAAAGCAACATTACAAACACAAGCTCTGTTCCTTTAATATGTGTGCTAAGATGTAGGCATGTATGAAAAGGTTGTAACGTTCTTTAACAAAAGTGGTAGGTCCTGCAGATACCTATCCCAGCTTCCATTCCTCAGCATTACTTACTTCAGAATGCCCCCAAATATTAATGGAAGCAGTAGAAAGTTGATTTAAATAAATAAACAATATGAAACATCATGACAACAAACTCACTATGAAATCACTACTTTTCTAAGATGGAAAGAAAAAGTCACGTTGATGAGTGTCAGTAATTGCTCACCAAAAAGAAAAGTACAGTAGCAACACAAAAAAGAAAATCCTCCTTAATCTCTTAAAAAAACATTAAAAGAGCAGCTGCAAGGTTTCGGTATGTGGTTGTGTTCTGTTTGACGCCCAACTTTTAAAAATAGATTTTAACAAAGCAAAGTGAATGTCAATAAAACAACCTCAAAACTGAAAAACTTACTGGATTCCCCCGTCTTCCTTCTGGTCCTGGAGGACCCTGTTGTCCAACTTCTCCCTTAATGTTGATGATAGAGAAATAATCATAAAATTATTAAATTTCCAGTAGTACACTGAGAACTGTAACAGACTGAACTTAATTCAACCAATATATGGGAAATATCTAAAATTTGCCAGTAAAATACACAAAGCTACATAAATCTACACAGCATGTTTCTTCAAGCTGTTGTTGTTGTTGTTGTTGTTGTTATTATTATTATTATTATTATTATTATTCCATTTGCATTTAGTGACAGACCTTGCCAATGATGCAAAACCTATATCCAGGCCCATTCCCCTATGAAATAAAACTCTGGAACACACCAAGAGTCCATCCACATTCTGATTTAGCAGACTATGAAAACTGTGCTGTTGTGTGCTGCTCTATTGGTTTCTGCCTCCAGAAGGCACAGCTTCCCAAAAGAGTCAGGGGTAGTAGTTGATTTGGCTGCATTTGTCAGCTAACAATGACCCAGGGATGTAGACTTTGCTGATTTATGGCTCTATTATCTGCATTAATAGCAACTGGAACAAGGTTCATGCTGGAAAGCACTAGGAGCACATACAAGGGATTAGTCAGGAAAATACATAGAAATTTGCCTGGCTATTTTGTCAGAGAATTCAGGAAATAGTACAGTAGTACAAAAACAATCCCTGTGTTTGAAATTTTGAAATGACAACTTTTACAAGAGGATCCAGGGATACTTTTTCCCATTGCTATCATTCTGAGGGGCTCCATAATGCTTGTATTCCATGCATATGTGTGTGAGAATGTAAGCCTAGATGCGCACACAAAATAGAGGCTGCAAGCCATTATTGCCCTAAAGCAGCTAGCAGCTGCTAACAACCATGACTGACCTCGTCCCTCCAAAGCTCCTAGGGCAGTTCTAATTCGGACTTCAGTGGGAGATGAACAACAAAATCCCAGAAATGTAACCTATGTAACCTATGTTTAGTATGGAGACGGCATTAGTCATGCTTGTTCATGATCCATGGTGGAAACAGGAGGCAGGTAATGTGTCCATCTTTGTACTCCTTGATCTGCCTGTGGCTTTTGAATTGGGGATGGGAGACACTATTTATCAGCGGCTTCCTTCCTTTCTTCGTGGCTAGTTTCAACCACTGTTGACAGATGGGGAGAGATTTCACTCGGAGTCCCTCAAATACGGAGGACATAGAGCTCAACGCTCCCTCTTTGTCCATTTAACATCCACACAAAACCATTGTCTCAACGTCATCCAGGAATTATTGTAGACTTAGTTGTTCTCCCAAGCCTTAGAGCCTATGTGTTGTGGAGCCCGCTTTTCATTTTGGTTTGGTCTGGGTTGAGTTTTTTTTCCCCTTGCTTCAATTAATTTTGTTTTAGTTTGATTACTTCACTCTTCCAGTCTGTTTTATCTTTGATATGATTTGTGTGTGTGTGTCTGTGTGTGTGTGTGTGTGTTTAGGTTCCTAGTTGTAAGCTGCGCACAATTGTGTAGGAGTTGGCCAACCAATAAATAAATAAAAGCATTCCAGAAGGCAGCAATACCAAACCACTTCTCTATTGCTGTCACTGCCATCACCAGCACAAGTCCTCAACTTACGATCATAATTCAGACCAGAATTTCCATTGCTAAGCAAGGTGGGGTCGTTAACTGAGCTGCACTCAATTTTATGACTTTTTATTGCCATAGTTAAGCAAATTGCTGTAGTTGTTAAGTGAATCATGCAGTCATTACATAAATCCAGCTTTCCCCATTGATTTTACTTATCGGAAGATCACAACAGACCACAGGATGCCGCAACCACGGTGAGTATATGCCGGTTGTCAAATTTTGAACATGTGACTCTGGGGATGCTGCAATTGTCATAAGTGCAAGGACCAGTTGTAACTCCCCTTTTTTCAGTTCTATTGTTAACTTCAAACAGTCACTAAACAAATGGTTATAAGTTGACAAGTAGTCAGCCACTTACAACAGTTCGTTCAAAGTTACAACAGCACTTAAAAAGCAAATGGGCATTTTTCACACTTGCACCATTTTTCACTATTGCAGCATCCCTGTGGTCACATGATCAAAATTCAGAAGTTTGGCAACTGGTTCACGTTTATGACAATCACCATTCCCTACACTTTGAAGAATACCAGGTTGCAGAAACTTAGCTGCATCTTTAAGAAAGTCTAACTCTGAAATACTCATGCGCTGAGTTTCTTAAAGAGGGGGGGTTATGAACAATGGGAAAATTGGTAAATATAACTTTTTCCATCCAATGGAAAGAGTTCCCAATGACAAAGAAAACTCTTCCACAAAGAAGGGTGGGACCTTGGTTATTCCACAGCAGAGAGTTTGCATACACAACGGTCTACAGAGGCCAACTTATACAGCTCATGATTTTGATGTGTAGCAGAGTATTTACTGTTTCCAGAAGGTAGGGGGCGGACACTATTTCTGAATTTTTGGGAAGAAACTGAAGAAGATTCTAGAAGAAATTTTCAAAGATGTTTTTCTCATTAAAGTATTCTGACTTTGATCGCAAAAATTTCCAAGTGAAATGTTTTATGGACAGCAGATGTTAAAAGGCAAAATGGCAGCATTTTAATCCAGCAGAAACAAGAGGCCATTGCTTTTTTTTAATTTCAAACTATTCAGAAATAAATGCTGTACTTCTTCCTCCTGCTCTGTATTATAATCTGAGAATGGAAGAATGCGGTGTACTTAAACAAAAACATATATTAAAAGTTAGATTTTTTTTAAAAAAAATCAGATAGTAAGAAGGAAATCCAGACAATGCTCTTGCATTGTTCTTCGAATTTCCTATACTCTCTGTTTATTGCTGCCAGAGCAACACTACATGCCAGAAAGAGGCATTTAACTTGATTAGGGAATTCCCAGGGTATGTAGCAAGGGAAGGGATGGAAAAAGTTGCAGCAAGAACTTCCTAAGAATTCCATATGCAATAAATATCACATGGAAGCGAGCAAAATCATGTAGTTGATCAAGGGACTGCAAGAGTCTCACTTCTTATACTATATCTGCATGCCAGTAGATCAGCTTTGATGTATGGAACAGTCCTACTTAGGTCAGGTTCTCCCTTCCCTGGAGCAAACTTATGAGCACATTCACATGACCGGAACCCCTGCAGGGTGCTATTAGACGGTCAAGAAGATGAGTAGTGGAAGTAGGAGGTGGTTGTCTGATCTCCTTTTTATGTTACAAATTGTTTCCTTTTCCCTGTGTCAGATAGACTCCCAGTCCATGGAGTCCATTGGGTCTCATATAATTATTCATAGCTGCTCTTAAAAAGCACATATATTTAAAAGAAATATAAGCACACAAGAATAAAATGAATAAAATACAAATCCATTAATAAAACAGAAAGAAGAATATGCATCCAGGTAGTTAGTCCTCAGCTTACGATCACAACTGAGCCCAATGTTTCTGTCGCTAAGTGAGACAGTGAAGTGACTTTTGCCCCATTTCACAACCTTTCTTGCTACAGTTAAGTGAAAAATCACTGCAGTTGTTCACTTAGTAATGCAGTTGTGAAGTTTCCGCAATGTCATAAGTCACTTCTTTCAGTGCCAGTGCAACTTTGAAGGAATGATTGTAAGTCAAGAACTACTTGTATACGTCATGAATATACCTGAAGTTAATTTCAATTCCAGTTATGAATACAACATTTGAACAAAATCAATATATTGGGTACCTTAAAACCTGGAATTCCAGGTCCGCCATCCTTCCCATTCCTCCCAGGTTCTCCCTGTTTTTATAAATAAAGTTAGAGTTACTCACCAGTTGTGATATGCAGGAAAAAAAGAAAAACAAACAGAACTCCCCCAAATTTGTCAGAAACTTACAACCCGTCCAGGTATTCCAGGAAGTCCTGCAGAACCTTTTTCACCATTTGCACCCTGGTAAAAGAATAGCACAAAGCTAAATAAGAGCAGCAGTACATCAAACCGTCAGCAGCCTCTAAAGGCTGACAGAATACATGGTAAGTTGGAGCTGGCCCATTAGTCCTTTTAATGAAGTGCTAAATATGTTTGACCCATTGTAGAAAAACCTACACTTAGCACTGTGAAGAAAAATTCTCCCTTGTTTTTTCTCTTTTAGTACTTATTCAAGGTGATAACATTTTTATGGGTGAAGTGTAGTGTTGCTCTTGTTTTAAGATACAAGTTGGCCAAGAGATTTGTGGAAATGGTTTGCCTTTCATTATACATTACACAATAATTTCTCCCAGGATTGAACTAAAATTGCAAAGGAAGGTCCCCTAAGGAAACTCTCCCCATTGGGTTTCTTTAAATCTCTAGATGAATTTTATTAAAAGTTTTTAAAAGAACATAAAAACGACAAATAGTTTTGCTGTATATTCTTTTATGTTCTATAAACTAGTATTGAACAAAAAGAAAGAAAAACAGAGAAAAGATAAAATAAGTAGAAAGAAGCAGCATCCTATTTCCTTTGCAGCAAATATGATGATTACAAAATTAACTCTTACTCTATGGTTACAAAAGAAAGCTGACTTTTTCTATAATTTACTTCCCCCTTCCCCATCATCGAAATCGTACATCATAAATTTGTTTTTTCTGTTTTATGCAAAAAATCTATAAGGGGTTTCGAGTCAGCCATAAAGGTAGATATTGTCTTTTCTCTAATCAAGGAAATCAATTTGGTAGTTTCTGTAATTCCCTCATCTCCGTCACCATTCCTCTATTGTGGGTGGTGTTTTTTTTTATTTTTGAATATATAGTAATCCAGTTGCTTATCTATTAATTCCAAAAGAAAATCTCTGTTTCAATAGTATATTAGTCTTTAAAATATTCTCAATTAGTGTATTTATTCTTCCCTTTTTTCTTTATATATACATTCCATATATATATATATATATGTATATATATATACATATATATGTGCGTGCGTGCATGTGTGTATGTGTGTGTGTGTGTGTGTGTGTGTGTGTGTATATATATATATATATATTCCTTATGGTATTCAGCTTTGTTCGGGTATTTTCTCACATCATTATAGTTGTGCTTTCAAAGCTGTAGCAACGTTTCGGCAGAATCTCATCTGCCATCATCAGGCTTCTGTATAGTTTTACATATAAATTTAAATACATATAAATACCTGTGAAAACTTAAGAAAACATATATATTCTTTATATATACATCCTATATACATTCCATAAATTTCTTTGGTGATAAATATCAAAGATATATCATTTTATAAAAATGATCTTTAAGTCCAGAAAATAATGTAAACTTAAATTCTTTCAAATTTTCCAATTGAACCATTTGTATATTGTAGCCAAACTTTTTAGCCCATTTTATCATACATTATTTCACTTATTCTCTCTAATATTTCAACAAAAGTTTATATATTTTAGCAATAACATTGATCGTTTGTATATAATTTTATTTCAAACTCAGTCTTATATTGTTCAAAATGATAACACTTTTTATCCATTTTAAACCTTTTTGAGATTTGTGTATAAGAAAATTATTGACAAATATATACTTTTGTTGACAAATCTCCCCTTGATTTTCTTTTACAATCCCTTTGAGAAAAATCTAGTACCATTGTGGCAAACCTATGTCACATGGTTTCTCTGTAGGCATGGGCGCCATCACCCCAGCTCAGCTCTGCCACGCATGTGCGTGCACCTCCTGCCGGCCAGCTGGTCTTCAGGTCTCTGCTGCGCATGTGCAGGGTGCATGCATGGGTGAGCCTGCATGGGTGTGGTGCATGCGGGGGGCGGGTGCATGAATTGCATTTTGGTTATTTGCATACACGCAAGCACTTTGGGCACTCGATGCCAAAAAGGTTCACTGATCTAGTATATTATGATAAGCTAACCATTTGTGTTAACTTTTATTCTTGCAACCTAGATTTATATTTACTCTTTACCCTAAGAATGGCCCACCTGACATAATGTTTCTTGTCAATCTAAATCGTTTGATCTTATATTAAGCTTAAACTTGCCTTTTTCCCATAAATTCCTGGTATGCCTTGATCTCCTTTAGGTCCTCTGTCTCCCTTAATAAAATAAATGGGTAACTTTATTTTTCTATGCAAATTAAATAGTTCAGAATAAAGCAAGAAAACATTAGCTCATGATATCTATGGTGATAGTAGTCATACCTTTTAACATAGTGCAAATGTATTTTAAAATTAATATTTATTTACACACCACAAATAAAATGTCTTCATAACTGTGTATTCAGGCCTCCTGCCTGTCATGACTTTTGACAGCCAGTATCAGACACAAAAAAACAAGGCCATGCATTAAGTTCCAATTAAACTGATTTATTGCTTATGCTTATGCATAGGAATCTAGTCAATTAACTAACAGCACAACTTGGGCACTCAATAAGAATTAAGATTTCAAGATGGGTTGGACTTCGATTGCTTCTGGGAACGTAGAGATTCTAGGCTGATTCCTCTTTGATTCCACCCCCAAGCTCTGCCACTCCTTCTCCTACACAGTGCTATAAAATATATTATAATAACATAAAAATACATAAAAGCAACAACGTGAAAGAATAACAACTCTAATTTACCTCTATTATAGTTCCAATTTGCAGTATTTTAGGAGGTCTATTGTGTAAAATAATGAATTAAAAATTCAAAAACAAATCCATCTACTAGGAGGTAGCATCAATGGAAGGATGATCAATATTTTATCTAAGACAAACTTTGTACTAATGTTGAGGTGATAAATAGACTAAATATTCCAGACCTTCAGAGCAGGCTAGTTTCAATTATCAGGAAAGAGGAGGTGACATTATTGAAAAATACTTCCCCTAGGACTACGGTCTTATTAAATAAGGGAAAACTATTTTAAACTGGATACACAAATCAGCCTATGTGATATAACCACTTACAGAAAGATAGATGTCTGCCTCTACTTATTTGAGAACATTCTGAACTAAAAGTTGTGTTCTTGAAGACAGAAAAGAAAACATGTAATAATAACTTTTTTAAAATTCTAAATGAGATAAAAAGCACAGGATTTTTATTATTTTGACAATCCCTTGATTTTTTTTTTAACATCCTACCCATTGTTACAAGAAGCATTTGGTTTGAACCTTAGATGCTGGAATTCCATGTAATCCAGGGAAACCTGGAACTCCACGTTCACCCTAGGGAAGGAAAAAACATACATTTCTGTGAAGCACGTTAAGTAAATAAATAGGTGTCAAAAGGCATCACTTCATAAATGATACAAAGATATTTACTCCACAGGGCTTGCTTTCCAAATAAGAATTACACCATTGCTTTCTTCCATACACAACCATGCAGTCTTGAGCTAATATTTAGCCACTGAATCTTAGGACATGAAGAAATTATGTACAAAAACAAATGGAAAGGGCACTGCTTTGGCTAGGTGAAAGAAACTAGGGAATAATTAGCCATCAGCCAGAAGCTCCCAGCATCTGCATTTTGAAATAATTAAGAAATGAACTATCTGGAATGTACAAACATAGAAGAAAACAATCTATGATGTTCTTCCTAGAACCAGCCCCCACCATAATTCTTGTTGAGAAATATCTTCTTACAACAGATATGTCACACATAAACATTAAAAACATATTTTACTATATAGAATTATGGATAGTAAAAACATTTGATTATTTCAGAGAATTCAGTCAATACGTATCTGTACAGCTTTATTCATGAAGTTAGTTTAGCAGGTCACTTTATTGATGGCTTGATTTTGTTGTTCTCCATCACTGCCAGATATGACCTTTCCCTCCCTGTTTTATTTTAAACTATCAATGATTTATTTGCAAGCTCATCTTAACCTATTCCAATAAGAAAACTGAATGATATATCGCCAGTATGTGGAACAGTAAATCTGTACTAGCACATATAAATCAGCATCTGGACAATAAATTAAAGTCCTGATTATTCACAACTTCTGAAACACTTCAAAATAATCTCAACCCGCAAACAACTGGACATGAACAATAGTCATCAATTTTGTTTTGAAGAAGTAGGAAAATGTTCTCAAATGTCCAAAGTTGACATTTTGCAAAACCATTATTTTATGTAGAGACAAACCCAAACAGCTTGAACTCAAGTGACTTAAACTCAAATTTCAGTTCAGATATACATTTTGAGGTAGGTTTCAACTAAATCACAATGGCATCTAATCTAGATTTCCATAACTCAGGATATTCTATAATATTTTCCTCCTTTTCTTCTTTCCTCCACCATCTGATTTTCCATTTATTTACTAATAATAATCTATATGGCTGCCCAACTAACTCAGTGACTCTAGATGGCTTATAAAGATAAAAAAAAAATCAATATAAAAACAATAAAAACAATAAAAACCAATAAACATCCTGGAAACAATGATCAAATCAACCATTACATCCTTTGTTGTGTTTTGCTTTGTCCATGTGGCAATTGGGTTGGATCATAACTGCCTTAATCTTAACAATCCTTAATAGGTATTCCACAAGTATTAGATTCAATAGAGATTAGCATACCTTTACATTTCAGGATTTTATAAATCCTAATACTTCTTATGCTTTTATCTACAGTTATCTAAATTAGATATATATAGCATTCCAACTGTAATTTTATAGGTCTTTTGTAGAAAATGAAGGATTTGATTCCCTTGCAATTTTACATTAATAATTTTTATTTTTACTTCTACTTTAGAGTGATTGTTATATTATTAGTTTTATGGTGATTCACAAGCAAAATAAACAACAAGAACTAATCTTACAAGAAATGAAGACATTAAACATGTGGCTCAAATGCTTGTTGCATACCTTAGAGAACTAATACTGATTAAGGGGCCACAGTGAACATTTTATTATTCATTATTATTCTTGGTCTCATTGCCAAATTCATTCTTAACCACAGCTGACTTTGATATAAAGAATGGAAAATTATTGGTCACTGGGAGCTTTCTGAATACTACACAGAATACAAAGTAATTTGGTCAAGATGAATTTTCATATAATTATATGAGAGTGATGGCTACAAACATAACATATACAGTATACTATATCCCATAAAAACCACTGAATACAATTCTAAATGCTTGGATTTTTCATATATGTGCAGAATGATTTTCAAAAAAAAGAAAAGAGACTTGAACAAATCACAAATAAGATTCTACGTGATTCAATAATCACATATCAGATTATGTTATTGTGAACTTTACAAAAATCCTAGTGTCTTATACTGTAGGATCATACAAAGCCTAACTTCAAAATACATTGTACTTAAACTTGCAAAAATTGCACAGGTGCACACAAATGAACCCATCTTTTCCATGTGGTTGGACATCTAGACTTATTGGGCAAATTCCAAATGTAGGAGAAAAAACAGCAAATAAAGAGCAAAACATGGCAGAAGATATCTCTAAACCAAGAAATGTGCAGAAGCAATTTAAATAAACCATACATTTGTACAGACAATCAAGTTATTTTAAACATATAATGTATATATTAGTAACTATCTTCCAAATATTTTGAGTATTATGTGATTTATTGATTAAAATGAATTATAGGCATTAAATTAGCCTTACCTTTGTTCCATCTGTCCCAGGTTCACCTTTTGCACCTGGAAGGCCACGTGGACCCTTGTAAAAAAAATCTAGATTAGGAACTTTGTTGAATTTTATGGATTTTATTTATAATTATAATTATAATAACCATTATGTAAAATGTTGTCTCAGAGAGGTTCTTAGAATAGCTTTTCCCAATTTTGGCCATGCGGGTTAAGAATTTTGCAGTTTTCCCCAAAACATGAAGGCACTTAAAGAAGCATTTCTAGTGTTTATAAAAAAAAGACATAGTGAGCTTACTTGAATCCCTGGTGATCCTGGAGTACCTGCTACTCCTTGATAACCCTAAGAAGAAAAACCCAAATGTAATACTATTGAGTGTTTCAGCACTTTGCTTTAAATGATTTACACCATTTTCATGGCTCAGACTTGAGGGCTGTGGAATTTCTGTCAGATGCACAGAACCGGGGATATCGCTGTGCCAATAATAAAAAAAAAAAGAATATATTTCAGGCCAACTTCTCCAGCAGAACAGCAAAGTAGTCATTAAGGGTCATTTCATTATCTTCCAAATAGATTGAATTAGATGTATTCCATCCATTTATTTCAGATGACGAAGAGATTGAACTTTACACAGTTTGCCCTATTTTAAATCAGAACTACATGGAAAGTAACGTCGTGTGAGGAATTCCCACACATATTTGCACAAATGAACTTATTGGTATCTCTTTCATGGATGATTGATAGACAAGGAGCAGAAATCTAGTTCCTAATGAACAGATATGGGTCTTACTGTGTTCCTTCTGCAAGATTAAATCCTATTTTATAGTCAGTTATAGAATAACAATTGGGGATGCGGTGGCTCAGCGGCTAAGACGCTGAGCTTGGCGATCAGAAAGGTCGGCAGTTTGGCAGTTCGAATCCCTAGTGCTGTGTAACGAAGTGAGCTCCTGTTACTTATTCCAGCTTCTGCCAACCTAGCAGTTCGAAAGCATGTAAAAATTCAAGTAGAAAAATAGGGACCACTTTGGTGGGAAGGTAACAGCATTCCATGAGCCTTCGGAGTTTAATCATGCTGGCCACATGACAATGGAGACCTCTTTGGACAGAGCTGGCTCTTCGGCTTTGTAATGAAGATAAGCACCACCCCCTAGAGCCGGAAATGACTAGCACATATGTGTGAGGGAAACTTTTACCTTTACTTTTTAGAATAACAACATGACACATCATAGAATGTACCAATACCCATATGCCCCTTTGAGCAATTCTGATTTGAAAAGGTCCTCAATGGTTATGTGGATATTTAAATCAGTTCTGTATCTCAGTGGAGGAAATGGGTTGAATGTCCCCTTTGTCTTCATTAACAAAACTGATTATGAATGACATAAAGTTCATTTTCATATGGAATCATAAAGTACATTCCACAGAAATTAATTCAAGATTGAAAGTTGTTGGCAATAAGTCATAAATAGTGGTTAATCACATTTTGCTCAAAGCAAAAAGGTCAGGAAAAGAGATGAGCTGCCAGGAAAAAAAATCCCTGTAACTGCATGGCATTCAGGGAATATAAACATTTGATGACTGAATTGTGGTCAAAGACATCCAGCCAGCTTTCATGCCTAGAGGCCTAGAACCCACAGTGCCCTGGTTTCAAAATACTTTCTTCCCAAACTCTTCAATACTTTATCCCAGTCTCAACCATATTGGATGACAACTAGATGGCAGCCAAGAGATTTTTTAAAAATAGCTTTCTTGCAACCTAGTGCTCAATTGATCAACCCAGGAGTAAGGGGGGGGGGGGACAAAGTTCAATTAGCTAGTGGGATAATGAGAAAAACAAAGATTTTTTAAAAAATGAAGTGTGCAGAATTACAAGAGTGTAGTCATGTCAATTAGTGAACATATTTTTGCACGATGGATGACATTGGGCAGGGCTGGAATTTCTGCCAAAGAAACTACCAATCACAGTTTTTGATATAGTCCACCTTGATGGTAGCCAAGGCAGATCCGTCTCGGGTACACAGTAAAGATTTGCTATGGGGAGATCAAGACTTAAGGTGGCATGATTTCCAACTAGTGCAGGTGCCATGGGGGTAGGGGGTGGGTGCTGCTGAAAGGTGCTCCAGAGCACAGGCAAGTGTGTGGGTGCCATAGGGAGGTAGGGGGTGGCATGGGCAGGCATTATGGAGTGTGGCTGGGCAAAAAAAGCGAAGGAGCCAGAGTAACTTGGGATTTCCTGCTGGCTTCCTCATTGATTTTGTTTGTGGAAATCGAGGCAAGGAACAGTAAACAGTGCACAACAGTAAAAAGTGCAACCATGAGATCGCTGCTTGCTGTGACATAGTAACTGTGAGTCAGGTCCTAAGAGCCCAGATTGCAAACACATGACCACAGAACACGGGGACAGACAGAACTCTGAGGACCGGTTGTAAATCTCCTTCATTCAGCACAATTGTAACTTTGAATGGCTGCTTGAATGAGTGGTTGTAACTCGAGGACGTAAATCTACCTACCTGTATTATCTTTACTGCATATATTCGGAGGCTACATTGGGATCATTTGACACTGTTCTTGTTATGTCGTGATTCTTGGTTTTACTATCATATACCTTGTTCTGAATGCTTTTCCCAGTTGGGCAGCTTAAATATTATTACAATTACTCCAGCAAAATATCTTTCTATTTCAGCTATATTTATTGTGAATAAAGCAATGTGGTTCAGGCTATTAGCTATCAATACATTCCAAGCAATCTTCAGAAGGCATTCTAAGCCTTTATCCTAAATCAACATCCTTCAGTTTCATTTTCTTGATACATTTCATATTTGTTTATTTTCCCCATAAGACCAAGGAGCAGTTCAGTGGAAATTTGGATTAGGAAAGTTCTCTCATTCCATGGCAATATTTATCTTCAAAGAGGGGTTGTTGCTTTTTTTTGCTTTTTTGAAAAATCAAGATATTGAGAGTCAGTTTGGTGTACTGGTGAAGGCTAGAAACTAGGAGCCTGTTTTAGTCTCATTTTAAGCAGGAAAGCCAGCTGGGACCTTGGCCCAGTCACTCGCTTTCACACCCCAGCCCACCTGACAGGGTTTTATGCAGAAATAGGAGGAAGAACAAGTACTGTGTATATACACTGGCTTGATTTATTCATAAAAATAATATAAGTGAAATATAAATAAATAGATAAGACATCCAATTACACGTATTCTGATGTTCCATCTGCTACTTATGTAAGAATACAAAATTCATTAGAAAAATAGTATGTAATTGTATCCAGTTAGGATTTATTTCAAAATCAAGCAAGCATTCCCAATCTTTTCTGTATAAACAGTCTCAGAATTACTGCTGACTACACTCGTAATCCAGCAGTTCATGTGTCCCAAGGATCATGAATGCCTGTGGAAAGTTGAGTTTGTATGCAGTGAAGAAATATGGCTCTAACTCAAACTATCTAACTCCATTATACTTAAAGCTTTATTAGGAACGGCCTCTGTGCCTAAATAGACCTACCCACAAAGCAAATTTTCATTAAAAGAAGCATATGACTTTGGGATGCAAGGTTTTCTATTATTGCTTTCCAAACCATTTTACTCTATACTAATTGCCATTATGGCTAAGGAATATTCAAAGATTGTTTCATTTACAGCTCAATTACTAACTGAAAGACAACAAAAATAGGAGTAAGTTCCAATGAGTTTAAGAATTATTATACAGGATTACCATTTAGGCAGATCAAAAGCTGCATCATGATTTTAATACTCCTTCTTAATAGCCCTCTCAATTCCTAAAATAACTTTTCAAAAAATTTCCATACTGTGAAAAATGTTCAACTTGAAAAACTGACTCATCTGAGGAAAACTTGTAGAACTGCCAGATTATAAATCTACAAGAATTGTTTCTTTTTTCTTGCATGGTTTATTACAGTGTTATTTCTATCATTACTAAGAAGCTTTGTCCACAGCTAGAATAAAAGCTACAAGGATGTTGCTCTCACTTCTAAAAATACTAACAGTGTAACTTCCCACTTACTATTGATACCCAAAAGTTTTCTTTATCACTAATCCAGAGGTTGTACTACATTACGGAGACTTTATGAGCAGCAAGAGCCCCCCACAACTTCTCAAAGCAAGATGTTCCACTGATTAATTGTTCTCACTGTCAGGAAATTATTTCTTGTTTCTAGATTGCTTCTCTCCTTGATTGGTTTCTATCCATTGCTTCTTCTCCTGCCCTCAGGTGCTTTGGAGAGTTGACCCCCTCTTCTTTGTGGCAGCCTTTCAAATATTGGAATACAGCTATCATTTCACTCCAGCCCTTCTTTTAATTAGACTAGGCATACCTAATTCCTGCAACCATTCTTCATACAGTAGAACACTTCTGGTCACGAACACTTCTGACCACGACCAAATTGGGTTCCAACCAAAAAATTCACTTTTATTTTTTGCAGCCATTTCCCCTTCTGCGCCATTTTTTTTGTAAGCACCAAATTTCCAAAATTAGGGTCATGACAAATTGGGTTGCAACCAAAGTTATGGAACAAATTATTGTTGTGACCAGAGGTTCTACTGTATGTTTTTATCTCCAGACCTTTAATCATCTTAATTGCTCTTCTCTGCACTCTTTCCAGAGTCTCAACATCTTTTTATATCGTAGGAACCAAAACTTGATGCAGTGTTCCAAGTGTGGTCTTATCAAGTAGATTACTTATTTAGTAGAGAATACCTCCACTAAATAATGTATATCCTTATTTGTGTTGCTCCAGGAAAATACATTTCCTTCTTGACAAGGATAGAAACTGGAAAAGCAACCCTAACACTCCTTTATTATTAAATTCATGCCCCAATCAAGAAAAAGTTGTCCATCCTAGTTATGCTATAGGCAGAGGAGACTCATAAGGAGATTTCTGGTGCAAAAACACAGGAAATACATTTCTGCTGTAGAATCTGTTTTGATCTCCTGGATGTAAAAATATGAACTGCAACTGTTTAATTTTTCAAGATGCCCTTCTAGAAACAGCCAGCTAACATCTGCTAAGCACATACAACTATACTTATGGAGCAATTTCATGTAGGAAGAATTCCTCCGATAGCAAGTAAAACTCTGAACATGGAAAACATTGCATGTTGTTAAACATTATGCCCATACAAGGTTCTTTCTCATGTTCATCAAAACATGCAGACGTGCCATAGCAATGTTGCAAAAGCTCCATTCATATGTTCAGGGAGAGTGCATGCAGAATTTCTAGTCTTTAGTTCCCCTCATTTTTCTGCATTAATCTCTGTCTGCAGTATTATTCAGAACTGTTCAAAATACAAGAAGTCCTCAACTTACAACCATCTGCTTAGTGACCATTCAAAGTTACAATGGTAGTGAAAACAGTGAGTTATGATGACTGTTTTTCACATTTACAATTGTTGCAGCATCCCCATGGTCACATGGTCAAAATGGGCATGTATTTATGACGGCTGCAGTTGCACCTTTTACAGCCTTCTGACAAGCAAAGTCAACGGTAAAGCCAGATTCACCTAGCAATTGTATTACTAACATAGTAACTGCAATGATTCACTTAACAACCGTGGCAAGAAAGGTTGTAAATTTGGGCAAAACCCATTTAACAACTGTTTTTGGGTTTAAATTGTGGTTGTAAGTCAAGGACTACTGTATATTGTTTCTATTGTGAAGAATACTGATCTGAGAAAATCTGGGCTCAGGTTGCTAGTCAATCACAAAGTTTGTTGGGAATATTGACAAAGGATTTCTCTCGGGAAGATGAACTATGGGATGACATCATGTAATCTACTGCAGTTCCTTACAGTAAGCTTTGCCAACCTGTACCCTACTGTTGCTTTTCAGACAACAAAAGTTAAATATAATTGATATGAAGTACTTTCCTTTTTCTATTGAAGAGTTCAGCATTTGGGCAAAATCATAGCTTTATAATTGATTGAACTATCCAAGTAAATCCTCCTTCATAAAAAAGCAACCATTTTTTAAAGGTCTTGAATCTGCTAGCTGTTGGGCCCCTCTGAACATTATACTACAATTTCTTTATTCTTGGACTCTCCCTCATTACAATCTTCAATACATGGAAATGTGTATTTTTGGTGCTGCTATTCATAACAGTACAGTGTCGGCATCCAAAGGGAACCACCATAATAATTTCAACCATCTGTTCTACCTATGAGCATGGCCAAAATGTAACTAAGAAACCAAAATAAGAAAATTTGGACATCTTATAATATGGAACTCCTCAAGCAATTGGCAATATCCCTAAAATTTATACCGTTTCCAATAAGCATTTATCTCAGATTTTCCATGTAGAACTGATACAGAAACCAAATATACTCTGACCACCACAAAGAGACAACAGCCTTATAGAAATATAGAAGTATAAACAAACCAGGGGGGAAACATATTGTGAGCAAGAAAAGTGCACTCAAAGTAGCATTCAAAATAATAAAGACCATGCTGTTTTATTTGTTGTTAATTTTAAAAAAATCTAGAAACTTAATTAAGGCTAATTTCATTGAATATATTATAAAGGATTGAATATTCTGGAGAAAGATCAGAACTCTGAGGACAACCCATTTCAGTATTTCATTTGCCCTTACTTTAATTGCTAGGAAAGAGATGAAACCAATCTGAATTTTTAGGTATCTTCTGTAATAATCATTCAAAAAAACCCGTCCTCACTTGATTGGCACATAGAAGGTTCTATATTTTATCTTATAATGCTATTATGCAGATAGGATTTCTAAATTAAGTCAACATAGCATCCAAACATTTTTACTGCAACTGCAAGAATACTTTTACAGCAGCAAAGCAGACCATTTACAAATATAAAGTAATTTCAGATTGTGAAAGGCTTCTATACCTGCCTTTGGTAATCTGATGTTTTTGAGGTTTTTTATTTCACAATTAAAAAATGGCCAAGATAGTTTGAGAGCACCTAACTGAGCAAGATTCATTTTATGGGGAAGGGGTGCTACACTGCATGTGTCTTTAATAACAGTAGAATTAGAGGGCTATGAAACATAGACTTAACTTTGGAAAATGATAGAAAAAGCTGAACTAAATTTTAAGGAAAATATTAATACTTATTTTTGGCATACCAAACCTTTTAATGCAAACTAGGAACCCTAATTCTTTGTATTAAGGAGTATGTCTAGGCTGATTTTTTTTTATTCACAATAACATTCTGATCCACTTTATTATTAGTTTTGCATTAAAAACTACTGAAGATGACTAAGTTTTTAGTACTCACAGGCTTACCATCTGGACCAGGTTCTCCAGGGAAGCCATGATTCCCAGGTTGTCCTGGATCACCCTAGAAATAAAGACAAAGTACAGAATAAGGTGAGACTCACAAAACATTTCTCTAATCTTTAGAAGGGATCCTTCACTGCGAACTGAAACTACCCTGCATTGCTTACAGGATGAAGGGAAAGTTCAATGTTTGGGGTTTTTTAGGTGGGGATTGTCTTCCCCGCATCCTAAAACATTCCCTCCTTATCCGATAAAATTATAAAATGGTTGAGACTGGAATTATTTAGGAAACTGTTTTATTTCTCTATTACGTGGAGTTGTCTCATTTAAAGAAAATTTAAGAAATTTAAGAAAAATACAACATATTCTAACATATTCTTAAAACTGTAAAATTTTGGAAGTAAACCAAAGACATTTTATGCAGGACTTGTCTTTACAATCCAACCCTTAATTTTTCTGTGGGAAACATTTTCATCAATTGCTCTTACTTTCACAGGGGGTGGCCTTATTCTTGATATTTAAGCTGTTACAAACTTTCCTAACATGAATAACTAAATAAAAACTTTTGTAAGTATTACATTAAAAGGGCATAATAGTTGGCTGAGGCCTCAGAGAATTGGCCAGATTATTATTATTATTTTATATTCTGATATATATGAGACTGTAAGAAGATTACACGGGAACATTCAGCACCAAATCAAAGATGGTGAGATTTTTTTTTTAGCTGCCATGTCTTATCCAACAGTAATATGAACCAAACCCTGGGAAAGTACAACTTAAACATGTCAAGTAAACATTACAATTGTGGGACTTTACTATATTTCTAACAAATAATATAGCAATGGACCAGTTCACTAAAAAGCCTCATTTCCAACATCAGTCTTTCCTACTACATATCACAGAATCAATAATTCCTTTCTTAGTACAGCAAAACTTTTCCCATGAGAAATCATAATGTTGACATTCCACTGATTTTTCTGCAATGCAGTCTTCTAAAGGAGGCTGCTAAATTCTGAACTGACTATTTAAGCATAAATTTGTGAAACTTCTTACTTATTATTTCAACTATATCTAGGGTAATTAATTCCACTGTAAACTCAAGTCCTACTTCGTGGCCATTAAGACTTCTATGAAGACATGGATGGTAAAAATGTGAGGAAAATGGACAATTGTTGCTATTGTTAGTCGTGAAGTTGTGTCCCACCCATCCTGACCCCACAGACAACGTTCCCCCAGACCTTCCTGTCCTCTACCATCCCTTGGAGTTCATTTAAGTTCATGCTGACTGCTTCAGTGACTCCATCCAGCCACCTCATTCTCTGCCGTCCCCTTCTTCTGGGGAATGGACAATATGAAGGGCAAAATGTTCGGATTATGGTTTTGAATGAAGTTCCTAGTACTGAAAAAGTTCATTTCTTGACAACTTGATTGGTCTGTGGTACATTAATCCACAAACACTTCTGTTATCTCAACCATATATGTAAAACTATATATCTCAACTGTATAAGTAAAATACCTCCTATATTAGATCCAAAGTCCACTCACTTTGTGTCCTGGAGGTCCTTGTTTTCCTGGAGGACAAATACAAGGAGGTGGTGTAGATCCTACATCGCTAGGTCCATTCTTGCACTATTAAAGAAGAAAATATATTTTCAAATACCAACTCCAATATAGTTTTTACACTTGTTCCACTAAAATCCCCAAAGATAATCAAACCGGCTTTGATGATACAATAGCAATTTCATAATCACAACACAAACTTCACTGTAAAAATCAGAGGGCAGCTTCAATTTCTTAGGAGATAACTTAATTATTCCTACAGATTTTCTACAAAAAAATATATAATTTAAAATCCTGGGTGCCTTTCACAGAATGTTGCAAGTCCCTCTTTTCTCCCATCTGGGACAGATGGACAATTCTGAAGGATCCATGAATCAGATATAGAAAAATTATGCAGAAATATAAAACGAGACAATCACTGAGTGGCAAATCATTTTCTTTATATTCAAAAGTTCCTGGGCTTAACCTTTGGCATTGCCTAATGAAATTTAAAAGATCAACCACCCCCCTGGAGATTAGCGGCAATTCAGTGTAGACTCTATTGACTGGAACAAGGTTACATAAGGTGCACCCCTGTGTGGATGCCTTTTGGACTATAACTGCTGAAACCTGAAGGCATGTTTTTTTCTTATCTTGAGAAAGGGGGTAATTGATTTCTATACTATGTATTAAACAGGCACATCACAATTAAAAAATGAAGACTCGCCCCAAACATAATCTTTCCCACCTGTGTAATTGGTCCCCACCTACATAGTAACCCTCTCAGCCTGTTCCTGGGTCAGATGGAGAAATAGTTTGGATTCACCTGACAAAGAATTCTGCTATGATCTGAACAAAAAAATTATCAAGAACACTAAATCAGACAGACTGCCAAGGGATGGTCTTCTCTGAGACAAACAATTTTTCCTTGCACTGTCTGTAAAAATAAACCTTTTAAGCGTTCACAGTAACATCTGTATTAGAAAAAAATTAAGTACCCCTCCTTTCAGAGTGTTTCACATACGTAGAAGTGCTCAGATATTATCTGTTTATTGCAAAGAACAAAGTAACAAGTTCACACTTTTTTAAATGTAAGGATTATCTATCAAGCATTTTTTCCTGGGCCTGTAATTAGAGAAATTTCCACTGAACCATCCCTTATGTTTTCCAAATTCTAGATATTTTCTTCTTTCATGTATAATTGAAAGAAACCACCAAAAATTAACTGAATACTTGAATACTGCCAAAAACTGAATACTTTCTAGCACTTTATTTGCCTTAAAAGCAGAATATATCCTTCTATATTGTATATGTATTTACAGTATGTATATATGCTTTTGCAAAGAATATAAATATGAATTAAGTATGCATGTGTATATTTTACATATAGTTATATTTCATCAATGTGAGCACTGAATATTCCTAGTAATATAAAATAGTTTAGTAATGAGTAATGGAAGATAGTCTGTAATACATCAAATAAAAATCAAGATAACATAAAAATTGAAACAAACATCAATTGAATTATTTATTTAAAGAAAAATTCCTCAGCGTGGAGGTAAAGAAATGTTTTGCAAACAATAAAATCCCACATTTCCTTTTATCCCATATTCCAAACACACAAAACATTCCTACCTCACCTGGTAAGTTACAGTAAGTTTACTAGAAATGTAACAGAGGAAAGGCAAATGTTACCTTACATTTGTACAAATGTGCATTGTTTGGCCTACCTCTCCATTCTGAAATGGAAAAAAAATGTTGGAATTAAAACTTCTTTTAAAACCTGCATGCACAAGCAAGCCTTTCTTTTGCATCCTTTAAAACTGCCAAAAAACACAAAACTAATTTCTGACCATGGTCTCCCTGGACCTCCAACAGCTCAGCAAAGAGATCTGTAAATACAATTAGTCAGGGGCAATCACACACATTTTGGGAGGGGAAAAATCATCCCTGTGAAATTTTATACAAGTTGCCTGATGGAGAGCAGCCTAAATTCCTAGATTATTGCTTATGTTAACATAATTTTAGCATAAGCCCAAACCCATTCTCAGAATCTCTTTCCTCTGTTTTTCCCCCCAGACTTTTTTATTGAGAAATATCCAACAGTTCTTAGTAATTTTCTATAATACTCACAACGCCAGGTATTTCACAGGCTGTTTCACGGCTGTTTTGTTCTGGGCTGCAATAAATCCTTAATTTTTGGACATCAAACTGAAAAGCAGGAATTAACACATTCTTTAGACAAGTATTTCTTACAACATCTAATTAAGAGGCCTTTTACAGCCAAAAAGTTCACCATTATCTGGTCCTCCCCCATGGTCAGTGACAGTGATAGAGTACACTGTTGGGGTTTCAATGGGCTTCATGGACACGGGCACAAGAACTGAGCTGATATGATCTCATTCCTGGTGATGACGTCCCAAGTGCTATCCAACAAAGGCAGTTTTAAGAACTGCTTTGGACAAAGGGGAAGACGAGGGAACAAATAAAAAAAGTCCTAAAAAATGTATGTTTGGTGTAATAGTTAAGACTCCAGGTTAAAAATTGGGAGACTGTGAGTTCTAGTCCCACCTTAGGGAATAACCAAGCTGAGTGACCTTGGACCAGTCACTCACTCTCAACCCTAGAAGGAGGGAACCCCTTTTGAAAAACCTTAGCCAAGAAAACTGCAAGGACTTATCCAGGCTGTCTTTGAGAATCACATGATTGAATAGAAGGGGAAAATAAACATAAAAATGCATACATTTTTAGAAATAACGGGGTTGCACTTAATTGTTTTGGGCAAACAATGCTTATTAGAAGATGCCATTTAACAGCACATTAAAAGATGCCTTTGAAAAAAAGGTTGACCTGATGGGACAAGCAGCTGAACCCGATTAATAGTGAGTAACCTGAAAATTACTGAACAAAAACAGGTCAATGAATACATTGTTAAAGAGTGTATTTCTGCAAATCTCTATGTTCTACCACCACCCCACTTCTTTGAAGAAACACTTTAGTTAATTTTCTTCCAAGTGGATTGCAAAGGGGGCTTCCAGACTTCACCTATTTTGCTGCTGAATTTTATATGTCTAATCCCAGGATGCTAGAAGGCCATAAATGGGATTGCGAGTCATACAGCCCACAGGCCTTGAGCTGTGTTCCCCCTTCACTCACAGAAGTCCCTCTTAATTTATTTAGCCAAAGTACCTGGTTACTGTTAAGCCCCCCCTAAGCATAGTAATACCCATTCTCTATCAGAAGACTGCCAACCCTCAGGAAGAGCTTTTGTAGATAGCAAGGTCTTAAATGGGCCAAAGGGAGTGGGGGACCCAACAACCCAGCAGCAAATAGGTATTGGTATTAACTTGAATAAAAGTGCCTTTCACTAAATCAAAGCCACCAATGAATGTAACTCATTCATTACAGAGTCCATTAAATTTAACTGGCCTAATTTTAAGCTATCAGCTCAGGTTATTATACTAATGTGCATAGATTTAGCTCTGTTTCATAAAACACCGCAATCTGAACAAGTGTATACCTGCACAGTCTCTTCTTTTCCTGTATATTTTCCTATTTGAGTCACTCCACTAATATAAATTCCTGCAACAGGATGCAATGGCTTCGTTTCAGTTTCTTGATCATCTATGTACAATGTTACATCAGCTTCAGTTACTAAGAGACGAATTTGATGCCAGCCTTGATCAAACAATGTCTAGAATAGAGAATAGTAAATGTATGTTTGTCTATCTATGTAGAACAGTCGTTTTCCTATTCCTTAACTGATTTATATGCTTTTGAGACATACATTGTCATTCATATAATCTTGAAGCGTTACTAATTGCAACAACTTAATATTATAGCCCAATATTCTAAAATTGCATTGTTAATATTGGCTATCAATGTATTGCAGCTGTGCCAAGTGGTGCCTATTTGGAAAACAGAATAGGCAGAGCATAACGTATTCATCTTTAGAAAACGTTTGTATATCAGTTTGGAAGAGTAGTTTGCCATTCTTTGCTAGGGACCATAAAATATTTTTTTGTTTGTTTATTAAATATATTTTCCACCCATCATGCCATGGGGCTACCCTGGATGGCTTACAATAGTAATAAGGGTAAGAACTTAACATCTTCCAGATGTTGCAAAACTACCAATATTCCAACTCAGGACAGGCAATAATGAGGGGTAATTCAATACTATCTGGAGGGTGCTGTCCACGCCCCTTCAGAGGTCATCTTCCAAAAATAGGAAGACAACCTCTGAAACAGGAAAAGCAAGCTGACTTTTTGGTTCTGAGAACAGCCTCTTCAAAGCTTTATAAAACATCACAAAGTCAAAGTAAGTTTTGGACAAAAGAAAATTTCCAATTCCCCTTCAAAAATAGCTGTTCATAAATTCCAAATGACAATTACCAATGCAGTCAATATAATAGATGTTACGAATTAGCCATCTCTGACCATATCAAAGTGCTATTTAAAAACTACAGGAAAACATGGGACATTTTCATAATAAATTGCCACTCCTGTAGTCAGTCCCATTCTATTCTGGGTAGCCTCTTCTCCTCAGAATAGTCTTTGATAGAAAACCAGTCTATATTTAGCTAGTACTAAAGTATCAATTTAACACTCTTCAGATAGGTCAAATAAACCAACAGCAATCCTAAACCAATGAGAAGTTTTAGGAAATCATTGAAGTCACCTTTGCTTTTCATAAAAATGATGCCTCCCAGAGAATATCTTGTGCTTTACCTGATCCTATAATATTGCACAATATTTTCCAGAATGCAATTGCAAGCATGGGCCCAAATTTGGATCTGAAATATTGGATCTCCTGGCATTTAAATACATAGTATAGTTGTGCATTTTTCCAACTGACACATGATGTGCTCTTTACCTTTACACGGGGTGCAGTAAAAGTAACAACCTGACCGCCATTGACTAGGTCTGTTGTAGTAAAGGATAATGTTTTCTTTTCTCCGATTACAGTAACAGCTATTTGTGGTATTCCATCTTGGCTTAGAATCCTCCACAAATCCCATGTTTTTTTAACTTTAAATCGCTGTGTAGATACAAATACATATGATGGAGGAAGGCCTTCTGGAAATACATTTCTGAAAAACATTTTTTTTTTCAAAAATTAAAACATAAAACAATTTTAGAATTACAAAAATTCTAAAATGTACACTATAGAAATGCAAAAGTGACAAACTTTCATAAGAACTTTCAGCTCAGGAGAAAGACGTACCTTGTCAATTCTGTCAGATCAACCCGGGAAATGATTTCATAAGCTTTTACATTAGTGCTTGGAATCTGAATTCTTTTCTTCACCTTTTTTTTCACATCTAAACCTAAAAGAATATCAAATCCTTTTTCATCCCGAGATGCCACTGGAATTCTTGTTGGGCAAACTGATTCTATAAAGAATACACAGAACAAATCACTCGCAAATGAAGTAATAAACTAGTATATAACATTAAACACAAAATAGGAAATCTTCTTGTCTTGCATCAGGGTAAATAATTGCATGTTTTGGACTGAATGGCTGAGAAAGCACCTGAAACACCTTTTTAAACATGTGAAAAGTTCATTAATGATAATCATGTTCTCATGTTACATTTTTTTTCCTAGTGATAAATTCTCTTGAACTCTTGATACTACTCTGCTGTGTTTAATATCAGTCAACATTTTAGGATAGTATCAAAATATATATTTTCATATAAGTGGCAGACACATATACCATTATTATGTGGAGTGAAGTGGGCATGGAGTGTGTGTACATGTGAGTGTGTAAGCCAGCCATTTGATGTAAAATATTTTTCAATCTAGTCCAGCATCTCCCCACGCTGGATTTTACTTGCATTAGTGGTGTTAAGCATAAAATTAACTTAAATTATGAGGAAATTGCAGACAGTATTATATCAGGTGCAACTTCCATATGTTTCTGTATCGGGAGAGTGAAAGCACTAAATAGAATAACTGTTGTTAACATACAGGTCAAATCCTGCAAGCTATCAGCTTAATTTTCATGCGATGAAAGATATACCCTACAACAGCAATGGGATTGTTGTAGTTACAATGAGATGCTAAAACCTCACAAAAACTGCATGACCAAACTGTTATTTTAGGCTTGTTTTCAACTTATAATTCACACAAAAAAAGAAACTATGATACTTCTCTTTGCTCTTTTCAACTTGTTGCTATTTCCTGGTTGGTCTGAAGGCATTATTTTGATAGCATAACTGGACAAATAAGACTGACATCAGCTACAGACTATTAAAAACTAGGGGATGAAGTTTCCCTTCCTCCCTTTGCACAGAAAGGAGAAGACATGATCCTGGAGTTAGCACTGGTGACTAAACACTGATCATCTTTAGATCTGAATATTACCATTGTTTGCATATTCCTTCTCTGGAGGTATTCCTAAGTAAAGAAAGAGGAAACTATCAGACTATCATTTTCTCTTCCTCCAACCTTATCAAACCTTTCTAACTGCAAATATCCATTCCTTTCTAGAACTTGGAAGAAGATCATCCGCTGGAGTACCCATAACGTAGGTCTTCAATAAATTTAATGGTTGAAATTACAATACCAGCAGATAAGTCCACCTGCACTATATGAATTGTGGCTTGGTGTCTTTGCAAATCCTGAGCATGCTTTGAGCCTGAAACTACTTTCATTCTGAAAAAGCATGATGTGCTTGTTAAAATATTCAAAGTTGGCAGACTACTGTCCCAAAAACTAAAATAATGAAAAAAGCACAATGATGGGCATTGAAGCAGAATATTAACAAGTTTTTAAAAATAATGTACAAATATTTCTTTTTACTGGTATAAATATATAACAAATGTCCATTTAGCTTAGAGAAGGGGAAAGGAGTTGGTTTCAATAGGAGATGCAAAGGGTAGAGGTTAGAAAAATCTCATTCTGGGATATTATGAAACCATTTCTCCCCTAAGATACAGCAACAGAATATTAAGGATTCAAAGATTCCTTTTTTTAAAAAAAGCAAATCAAAATTGAAAGATGTTCCACAGGAAAAGCTCACAGCACACAACGATTTATTAGTTGTGCAGAACCATGCATGTATAGGATACAGAATTTACGCAGCACTTCTTAACAGAATATAAACTTTCACCTTCACATTCAGCAGAATGCACAATCAGATCTTATCATGTCTTCCTATTGTGAATTAATCAAGGGACAATTTCTGTAATCAGTTCCAATAGCCATTATTCATATAGATCTCCAAGAAGTGGAAACACAATGAGTGGAAGCAATCACTTGAGAACTAGAAATGCACATACACTATTTGTGATACAATGAATTTTAGTAAAGTATGTCACATCTAAGAGCAATTTTTAAAAAATATTCTGCAGTATCAACCATCATTCAAATCCTCTAATCATGGCAATGACAGTTAAATCAGAATAATTTAAAAGAGGGATTGGCAATTCAAAGCAAGCTAGGTGATAGTCAGGAAGCCTATTGCTACTATAGATGAGTTTCAGTATTAAGGACCAGTTCAATAATATCCAACAGCCTTGAAAGAACTTAGAAACATCATCACAGAGGTCCTTTCTATTATCTTTGAGAGATCATGGAGGACAAGCATAGTGGTAGAAGACCATCAGAGGGCAAAAGTTCTTCCAATTTCCAAAAATATTAACTGTAAACATGGACTAGGTAGTATAAAAATATTTATCAATTAAATGTATTAATCAAATTTATATAGCTGCCCATCTGCAGTGTACAGCAATTGAATAATAAAATATATGTAATAAAGAAATTAGTGAAAATGCTTGTTATCAATATTACATCATTAAGCCATTTATAAATAAAGGGAAGGTATTGCTTAGCATAACCATCTTTAGTTTATCTAGAAAAAGTCATGTCAAACCAACCTGTTCTTTTTTGATAGCATGATTAATGTAGTTTATTGTAGGAATATGATGGACACGTATATTGTGACCTTAAGGCTTTCAAAATGTTTTTCTATAGTATAAGGTGCTAGTATCAAGTGTTTTTCAACAAGGTGAAAATGTCATATGGCATACTGCAGCATTTTATTCTAGGCTATGTGCTGTTTAATATATTTGAAAATGATTTAGATGAGGGTTTAGAAAATATTTTTCAGAATTGCACTGATTTATACAGATTTGCAAAAACACTGATCAGATTTATAGAAGGCGCATAGATAGATGAAGGCAGTATCATGACTCAGATGGATATTATAAGCCAGAAACCATTAATGTGAGTTTCAACATGGAAAAACTGCAAAGTCCTTCATTTGATTCAAAAAATCAAAGGCATGACGATAGGATTGGGGTGGTCATCTCAGGCAACAGTACAGGCAAAAAGTATCTATGTGTCTTGGTGGAACACAAAATGAGTATAAGGCAAGAGAGTTGTACAGCTGCAAGAAAAAGCAAATGCAGATCAAGTCTATATCAAGAGAATCAAGATAAAAAGAAGACATTATATCTCTTCTGTATTGTTCAGAAAACATGCAGTACATAAGACATCTAATAGACTTCTTAAATTGTTTGGCCAATTACCCCTTTTCCCAGTCTCAAATAATGTAATTAACCCCATACTCACCCATACAAAACAAACAATCTTGGTTGAAAGCCTCATCAGTGGCAATCCCAATACAAGCAATTATAAACTGCTCCATTATCTCCAAGATTATGCCCAAGTTATCCCCAGGTTAAAAGCCATTGACCTATAATATGGTGTTTAGTTCTGGGCACTACAGATTTGGAATAAAATGGAGTTTATTCCAAGGAAAGGAATCAAGACAAGGATATTAAAAGAAAAGAAAAGGAGTAAGAAACCCTGGATATACAGTATGTCAGCTGGAGAAGAAAAGACTGCAAGAAGATGTCTTCAGGAAGCTTAGTGTGTTTTCAGAAGAGAAGAAACAATGACTTTACAATTGCAAGGTAAGACATTTTATTGGAGAGCTCTAACAATAAAAACTATTCAATAAAGAAGCCAATTGCTTTAGCATGTAGTGTCTTCTCCTTTATAGCAGCTGTTTAAATAGAATCTGGATGGTCATCTCCAGTGGATGCTGGCACTGGAAAGAGGGGTGGACCAAAACCCACTCCAACCCTTACTGTTTATGATTTTATGTTTTATGAACTTTCTGGAACTAGCTTGGAAAATGAGTTCTCCCTCTAATAAGGGTTACCAGTTATTTAGAATTATAGATCAGAACTCATAGGACACAACTGGATGACACACACAAAAACTTAACACAGAAACAACCACATAATAAAATTAAAATGAACTGTATCCAGATAGGAATTAATGAAAAAATAAACATTGCCATTAATAAACCTCTTGTAACAATTACAGTTATACACATTTGGCAACTCTCTCTATATTTCTGGAGACTGATCCAGAGCAAAAAAAGGGGAAAAGCTCAATCTAAATGAAACATAAACATCATTTATACTGTAACGTGTAAACCAATACTAGCTGAAACATAAATGTGAGTATACGTAATAAGACATCTTACAAACTAAATGCCACTATTACTTGTATGATATAAAGCATTTTTATTCTCAGAAGCAAAAGTTTGTTTTTACATCAAAAAAGGTGAAGGGTGTTGCCCCATCATTATATAAATATTTTTTAATATTTGACCTTGTTCATATAAATATTTTAAAACAATAGAATAAACAAGAGGATCTGTTTCCATTAAAAAAATTTTAAATAAAGGAGAAAACTGGAAACAGTTTCTACATATAAACAGAATGGGACTGGCAAATTATATGCATGTTATTCATGGACTGTCTCTCAAGAATAAATCATAACAATAATAATTAAATACCATCTATATCCATATCACTTTTCAGAGGAATGTAAGCCATAACAAAAGAGCTGGAGGAAAGATTCTGCTCTAAATGGCCATCATCACAGCCCTCCAAGAAATACAAAATAAAATTTCACAATTATATCCTCAATGGTTTCTTAGAAGTATAAATATGTTGGCAAGAAGTAGACAGTTGTATTAGCACTATAGAATATTGTACTTAAAACTAATCACTAGGGGAACCATCAGTGGTGGTATTCAATTTTTTTTACTACCGGTTCTGTGGGCGTGACTTGGTGGGCATGGTGTGGCTTGGTGGGTGTGCCTTGGTGGGTGTGGCAGGGGAAGGATACTGAAAAATCCCCATTTCCTCCCCACCCCATTAGCCTGCTTTCCAGCTCCATTCTCCTGTGCAGGGCAACAAAGGAAGACCCAGCTGATCAGCTGGGACTCCAATCAGCTGGGAGTTGGGAGGCAGTGAATAGATGGGGGCAGGGGGGCAACCAGAGGTACTATTTCCCGGATGGTTCTCCGAACTTCTCAAAATTTCCACTACCGGTTCTCCAGAACCTGTCAGAATTGTCTGAACACCACCTCTGGAGACCATTCCCTTAAGAAATAATACAGGAGAGAACAGAATTTAGTTTGATCAAAATCTAAGCTGATCATATGGTTCTGTAACTTCTGTTTATCTTTTTTTAAAATATATGCAAGCTGCAAATACTGAGCACCCTCCATGTTGACTTTCATACCTTAAATTCATTTCTATACATTGGGGATTATTTTTGCCAATAGCACTGCTCCAGAATCATTTGAAAAGATGTCACATTTTTCAAGGGAATCCCTAAAGACTTCTTATATGTCGTGTACAATTTCAGAAAGGGTTTCTTTCGTGAACAGAATGGAATCTCTGAGTCCTACCCAGCATGCATTGTTTTTGACAAATAGGAAAGAATAAATTTTGAATGCTAGGGAATTAGGTTTAATTTCACAATGATCCAGAACAATTGCGATATCATTTAATTCTATGAGATTAGTCTCTGCAGCCCCAGAAATGGATGCAGAGCCCAGAGTGAATCATAATTTGCATATCTCTACCCTAGGTTTCAGCATGCTTTCATCAGTCGGACCCTACAGCAAAAAGAATGAACAAGAGGTATGGCATAAAAGATTATGAGAATCTTTTTCATCTCCAGAAGCTCATCCAAGATCACAGCACCTTCCCAGTTACCTTCTCAGATTAGGAAAACCCCTTCTTTGTTGGTATTCAGTTCAGTATTTAAGACCATTCTTTTCTGAAGATCCTAAAATGGCTGACAGCACCTATTTGAGACAACTCTACCCCATATGGTGTTGTTTAACTACAGTTTATCATTGTGGCTTCATGCATAATTTTATTCCTGTAGGGCAGGGGTGTCAAACTGGTGGCTCACAGGTTGAATGCATCATGCATAGACCATGCCCACCCCAGCTCCGGGAATGGGAAAAACATCACAAAATGTCACGTAACGGCAACATGACGTGGCAAGTTTGACACCCATGTTATAGGGGTATGAGGTAGCTGTAATCTATATAGCAGGCATACGAATGACTGTATTACTGGGTTTTAAAAAATACGGAAAATGTAATTTGGGAATTGCTGTTTATTTTTTTGCAAAAATCATAAGCCAAGTAATGTAATTAGCTTCCATCAGGCTTAATCCTTTGACCTATCTTTCCAAAGCTACCGAAGAAGCAAAATAATTGTCAAAGGATAACTGAATCTCTGCTTATATCACTGGGATGCCACAGCACTGGTCCTCCAAAGAAGATATCCCTGTATCCCTTCAGGAGTAACTTTGGAGAAATAAAACAAATTCCTTCCTTTGAAGGAATCAAAAGGGAGTCACATCCTTTTGCCCTCTTCCTTTTATTGCAACATCCACTTTTCTCTCTCAGTCCTTCTCCTGGTGAGCAGGCCAACATCTGATGAATTTTATACATACTTACATTGGCAAATCAAAGATCACTCAACATGGCAACAATCTTGGCTGCTGCCTAAGCAATTAGACAAACATTGACCCAAAGGTTTGATTACAAGTAATCTTCAACTTACAACATTCATTTAGTGACCATTTGAACTTACAATGACACAAAAAAAATATGATATGGATATTTTACAGACTTATGACTGTTGCAACAACCCCATGGTCACATGACCAAAATTCAGCCACTTGGCAACTGATTCATATTTATGACAGTTGCAGTGTCCTGGAATCATGTGATCACCTTCTGCAACCTTCTGACAAGCAAAATCAATGGGGAAGCCAGATTCATTTAACAACTGTATTACTAACTTAGCAACTGCAGTGATTCACTCAACAAGAAAAGTCATGAAATGGGGCAGAAGTCACTTAACAACTGCCTCACAATTTTGGGCTCAATTATGGTCATAAGTGGAGGATTACCTGTACCGTTAATTCATTGTTTTAAGAAATGGTGATATTTGACACAGCTCACACTGGATGCTCTTGATACTTATATGCCAGCTAACCCAATTTCATGTTACTATATTCAATAGATATATCACTGCAGCTGAACATGATGATTGCTTTTTTATTGATTTGCAATATATCTTTATATTGTTGTTTGCTGAACAACTGAAATCAACCTTTATGTCACTGAAATACCAGGTTGTTTTAGTATAACTTAAAGAGACCAATCCCCATTATATATCTCCTGTTCCCACCTTAGCATAATTCTTAAAACATTATATTATCACGCAATAGAATCTCACACATTTAAAAAAGAAGTGCTCCACAAAGAATGATTAATAGTTACCTTCACAGAGTTTCTGCTTTATCACTTCCCTTATTCTGGATATTGCCATATAATCTTCAACATGGAACACATATGTAGAAGAGGGTTTGTTGGCAATTGCTTTCAGTTCATCCTCTTCAGTTTCAGAACCAACGCCAATGGCAAACAGTGTGATCTTGTTTCTCCTGGCTTCAGCAGCCACCTCTTTGACTTCATCTTGGGACTTACCATCAGTCAGAACAATTGCGATCCTTGTAAGGAATCTTTCTGATTTAGCAAATAGATGGTCCATTGCAAACTGAATGGCTCTGCCTGTTCTTGTATTTCCACCCAAATACTGTACATATGCCATTTCTCTGATTAGATTCTCATTGGAATCATAAAAACCCAGAGGAATTTCAAGTACAGGATAATCACTGTACTGTACTACTCCAACCTGAATAAATTTTGGTCCTATGTTAAAGTTACTTGTAATATTGAACAACCATCTTTTGATTATTTCAAAGTTTTCTGGGCCAACGCTGTAGGAGCCATCCAAGATGAAAACTAAATCTGCTGGAGCTGTTCGGCAACCTAAAACAAATATAGAGAAAAAATGTTTTACTTGTATCTTTATCATCATAATCCAAGATAGTTAGCATCCTTTAGACTGTAAACTAGGATGGAAACCTCGTCAAATGTAACTGTATTTATTTCTAGATAAAAATATATTGGGTGTTTTTTTTAATCTCTTGTCTAAATAAAATAAGCTACAACCTAACCAAGTTAGTTAAACACAAGTGACTTGAAGACTTAGTCATTTCAATCCCTATTGTGAATTTCAGGTAGTCAGTTTTAAAATGTGATAAAAATGGCAGAAACCTGTACTCAATTCTCAACTTTTTTTGTGTAGAATTGCCTCAGTACACTGTGTTAACTTTTAAACCAATTTACAATAAATATGGGATTAGAAGAATAACCCCAATACTAGTAAAATAAATAGAAAGGAACTTATAATTCATTATTTTTGTACTTCATATATAAGAGTACAGTTTTAAATGATGTTTAAGGGCTCAGTGTTCAGAGAAAAGCTGAATACGTTGATTTCTATAGCTATAGTCATATTCTACACACCAGGCATAAATTGTTTTATTTTCTCTTAGAAAAAGTAGATATTTTTGCTAGATTTATTAGTTAACTAAACTGGTGGAATCATGTTTTATCCGTGTTTTAAACTTTTCTTTAAAAATTATTTAAAAAGATAGGGACTTAAATAGTAATGCTTAAATTAACAAGGATGTGAATGCTTAAAGGGCATAGATTGTTGAGAGAGGAAAAATATGAAGATAGAAATGGAATGAACTGGTTAGGCCTGAACCCAGGTTTCCTTCCATACTGTAGTATTTTATTGTAGCTTTAATTCATGTATATCACTCACTAGCTTCGCTATGAAACTATGTAGCCAGGCTTAGTTTGGGGGGAGGAAAATAAGGGGGGGGGGGGAATTCTTCCTCTGCCTACCAGCATCCATAGGTATTTATCTGGCTAGTGTCCTCTCAGTGTGTGAGAGAGTTGAGGGCTGTTTGGAAACTGGAACAGTATTTGCTCTGTGAGCAAGAAGGAGACAGCTAGGAGCCTGGGCGTGGTTTAGCTCAACTGCTCTGTACTGAAGCTGCTTGTTGCTGTGAAACTAAAACTGAAACTGAAACTCTGCTTGTGTTTTGCATTTGGAACAGATTTCTTTCCAGGTGGGGAGTAGTACTCCTTAGCATCAGAGCATGTTAATAATAATATAGGAAATACTAATGCTCTGATGGTCATTTCAAAAAATCCTTTCTTAGTGGGCACCTAGAAGCAGGGGTGGGATTCTACCAGTTTACACCTATTCGTGAGAATCAGTTGTTAGCATTCTAAGCAGTTCGGAGAACCGGTTGTTAGATGAAATTACTGGCCTAATCCTGTAAGAAAGGCAGGAAGGAAACATTCTGGTGTTGCTTACAGAAACTGCCTCTCCATTAACCCTTATTACGTTCTTGGCAGGACTAGACTTCCTGTCTCAGGAACCTCTCTGGAGTTTTTTTCTCCTTCTTTGCTAGTACTTTGCTTGTGTGGAGTGACCATTCAAAGTTACAATGGCACTGAAAAAAAGTGACTTATGACCATTTTTCACACTTACGACTGTTGCAACATCCCCAGTCATGAGAGGCCCAGTGAGAAGATGCGTGCCTCGATGTGAGTGTTATCGAGTTGGCCACACCCAGCCAATAACATGACCACCAAGCCATGTCCACCCAGTCACATGACCACCAAGCCATGCCCACCACCTAAGCCACACCCACAGAACCAGTTGTTAAAAAATTTGAATCCCACCCCTGCCTAGAAGCCAAGAGGAACATATGTGCCTAATTTCACGTTTGTAGGCGTTACGGTTCTACAGTTTTTGTGATGATGCGTGAGTGGAATTTCGCTTTTATATATATAGATTTGCAGCTTTCACATTATGTAACCAATTGGAATAACTTACTGTGCACAAAAGACTATTGGCTTAGAGATAACTAATATGGTATGTTCCTGTAGCTCATCTAATCATAATTTTTTCAACAGGAGACTTGATATTCCTAGTGAATCAAATAGAAAAAGACAGAGCAGACTCTTGAAAGTTTTCTAGTTTTGATCAAAATGCCAATGAGATCATACAGAAATATAAAATTCTAGAGGCTTCTGTTTCACTTAGGACTATCTCAAACATTATAATGAGACAACTGCAAAAACTGAAAGTTTCTATATTTTATTAAGTATTTCTGGTTAGCAAAACTCTTACTTGCTCTTGTATCAGCACCTTCAGCCAATATGCAACCATGTAGTAAGAACATTAAAACTGTCTGAAGAAACGTTATGTTCTTTGCCATGTATACAGTATTTTGTGTCCTTCAAATCCTAAAACAGACTGGGGAAAATACAAAATATTTAAAAACAGTATTACAACAATATTAAAACAATGATATAAGAAAATAGGAAAGCAATATATATAAATGGTTATAGCTTCCTGTAAGATTAATCGGTGTAACAGATTGGTTCAGCTAATTGTATTATATAACTAAATTAACTCCAATTAGTTAGGACTTACAATAAACCTAAAATACTAGTTTTTAATCTGAGGAGACTTAATCATAAGAAAGTAATGTCAACAGGGTCCTCTACCACTAAGTGCTATAACAGTCAAAACTTCAACACAGTAAGGCCTCCATGTATACTGGGATACTATATTCGTGACTTGCATTGAGGCCACTTGCCAAAATTCCCAAGTATATCAGACATTTAGTGACCACACAATGAACTGCATGGAATAAAAGCCTAGATATATACAAGGAACTGTGGAACTATTGCACATTCTTCCTGTGTTAAATACTTATTATTAGAAGTCAATACCACAAAGGCCAGCATTCCAAAACTTAAAATAGACCAGAATACAAAAATTGCCTCGGGTATACAGAAATATGTGCACATTTTATCCTATTGTGTAGTAGAATTTCTACATGAGATAAAATCGTATGAAAAATCCAGTAGAGACTGAGCTCCAAGACATTATTTCAACAAACTGGTACCTTCTAGAAATTTTGGATTTAGTTCATATAAGTGCAGGATAAATAGGAAGGCTAATCTGACACAATCCCACAAAGAATGTAAAAAATATGAAACTTCTGCAATTCACCAAAACCAGACTTACATTGACTAGTTCAAAAAATTAGATAAATCTGATCAAATAATTTTAATATATTTCAAGACAAAACAAGCTGCTATATAAATCCAATTTACAATAGAGGTGTGCAGAACTTTTCAAATTAGGAATAGTTGAAGTCTGAAATTGTTTTATTGACTATTCTAGAACTCCTTTCAATACAAAAGTTCTTTTCTAGCTCAAAACATGTGCTTTGAGCTTGAAATATCTTTGAACAATTTGAAACTAACGTTATGAATTCAAAATATTTTGTATATCTCCATTTATATGCAGATGCCAGGTGCAAAGAATCAGGACCATCCTCACAGACTGGAGCATAAACTATTTATTGAAGCCTATACACAAGAATCGGGTCAACTAACAGCTTTAAATTGGTGCTAGATAAGGGTCAAAAGAATTCAAGGGGGGCGTGGATTTGGATATCTTGCAGCAATGCAAAAACTCTAAACTGATAATACACTAGACACAAGAACAGTTTTTCCCGAAAGCCATCACTCTGCTAAACAAATAATTCCCACAACACTGTCCAACTATTTACAAAGTCTGCATTACTATTACTATTAATCTTCTCATCACTTCTTATCACCCATCCCCTTCCACTTGTGACTGTATGACTGTAACTTTGTTGCTTGTATCCTGACGTTTTAATGACTGTTTCCTAGTATGATTTGATTGCCTATTTCTACCCTATGACTATATTAAGTGTTGTACCTGATGATTCTTGACAAATGTGTCTTTTCTTTTTATGTACACTGACAGCATATGCACCAAGACAAATTCCTTGTGTGTCTAATCGCACTTGGTCAATAAAGAATTCATTTTATTCCACCCTCCACCTGTACCTGCTGTTCTCCTATGTTAACTATCGTGAAGCATTTTTCCCGCTCTATATGCTAAGCCACTTTAAAATTTGTGATTAGGGCCTGACCAGATTGCAAAGAATTGTTTTGCCAATCAGTGCAAACTTCAGGATTCTTCAAGAGGTAGGATAAGATACTCTCGGTGAATTGCTCAGGCTTGCATATTAGAAAGGTATTCCAAAACCACTGATGCTATTTCATCCTGATATGGCTTATCACTCTTTAATCTATTCATTTTCTCATCAGGGCCAAAGATCTTAATTTAGTCGAGCCTGGCACTCAGACAAATCAGCCATCAACAGGCACATAGAGATAAATGACATCTAGATATCGTTCAAAAGAGACAATCAAAACGCCGAAAATGAAACAAAAGGACCAAAACACCTCCTTCCCAACAATCAACATCCAAATAAGCAGAGATTAATAAACCAATAATCAAGCAGTAAACAATACTCCAATTAAGGAACTACCACTCAGACAAACAATTGAACAGTAAACAATAGACCAATCAAAGAACCACCAAGATCACTCCCACCAACACTGATAGGGCAATCCACCTGTATATAAACAGAGAGTTACCCCACCCCCTTCTAGCACTGATGACATTACTTAATTCCATAATGAAACACCTACAAGTAAACAGCCAAGCTCAGAGAGCACCACAGATCCCCTAGGGGTCATTGTAAATGGCAGTGGTATGGGCTTTTGAGTCTACATTTGGTCCCACTTCTAAACTGCAGTTTTGTGAATCTACTCAAAAACCACTATATACAATTACAGAAATACTGTCTATTACTGAATTTTGATTCAGATCAAAAGGTTAATGTATTTTGTATTTGTAACTGTTTCAATGAACATCAGAAATTATGCTTTTTTAATTTTTTTCACTTGCACTTCTCTCCTCCCTAATATTTTTCAACATTTTTGTTTTTTTCATTTTTGTAGAATTTTAATGCTTTTTTAAAAAATATTTATACAATGACAAACCAAATAAATATAGCTGTATACGTTTATTTTTTTCCCTTTTGTTATCATCAATATTACAAAAGTTAGTTTCTTGAAGCCCATAGCTATCTATAAAGTGCCAAGTTCAACAATGGCTTATTCTTCAGTATTTGTGGCTTTTGACCTAAATACAGAAAATAATAAACATTTATCCAAATCTACAAAACAGAAATGGAACACAAGGTATTTCTGGAAAGGTGTCACTATTTATCTGGGACCTGGTACTAATAACTCTGCCAATGACCTGTTATGAAACTTCTCAAGCACTATAAAAATGTGCAGACCAGCTTTACAATATGCCAAATTTTAATCTAGCATACATAAATTTCCTGAGGGATGTAGTTCTATGTAACTAGTCATTTCCTTTCTTTTACAAAGAGCAGCCAAAGGAACACAAAGGATAAGAGCAATCAGCCATTATATACTATACCGTCATCCAGCACAGTATGCATGTTATAGTAACAAAGATTATAACACAACAAAAAAGCCACTTTTGACAAGCTTTTGATTTCACAAACAGGAATCCAAGTATTCAGTGTTTGATAATGAGTGGATACGATTGTTTGAGGAAAGATTGATGGAAGATGCAAATATACTTAATGCAAATTAGTCATTAACTTACACCCATTCATTTAACAAAAGCTCAAAGTTACAACAGTCTTTGAAAAAGTTTTTTATAACCTCTCCTTGAAGTTAGGACCTTGTCAGTACCTCTGTGGTCATATTACAATTCAGGCACTTGGCAACCAGTTTGCATTTACAATAATTGCAGCTTTGTGTGATCACATGATCACAATTCGTGACCTTCCCAATTGGCTTCCGACAAACAGAGTAAATCCGTAAAGCTGGGTTTACGTAACAGCCATATGATCCATTTAATGACCATGCTGAATTGCTTGATGACTGTGGTAAAAATGACAGTAAAATCAAATCTGGTCATATGAGGATTTGTTTTATGACCATACTGACTTACAATGGAAATCCCAATCCCAATTGTTGTTGTAAGTCAAAGACTACCTGTAAAAGCTGTAATGTGTGAGTTTAATGTGCAAGTTGACGAGTTTAAACAACCCAGCTATATGCAAAAATTTAGCTGGAATATATTTCATTTTAAGCATCAAGGGGGCATGACCAATGTTATTCACTTGCATATTTATACTGAAATACTGGTTTTTGTTTGTTTGTTTGTTTGTTTGTTTGTTTTAGTTTATTATAGTCATAGACCAGAGACCAAAACAAATAAAAACACTCAGTAAATATACAATTAAAATTAATAACAACTAACATACTATTTAGAGCAGGGATGCCAAACTCAAGCCCCACAGGCCAGATCTGGCCCGCGGAGTGCTTAAATCTGGCCTGTAGGGCCAGCCTGGAAATAGCAAAAAACCAGCCCATGGTGCCTCTGGCAGCCAAAATGGCCAGCAGGGTGCTGCAGGAGGTCCCCGTGCCCCATTTTGGCTGGCAGGGTGCTGCAGGAAGAGTCCATCCTATCTCCCACCTCCTGCCAGCACATGGAGGAGAACTACAATGCTGATCCAGCCCTGGAAGAAATCCAGTTGGACACCCCTGGTTTAGAGTTTAGGCTCACAAGTCAGTGAAATGCTGTATCTTGGATTTCCCACCCAAAAAACACTCGAAAAATGATAGAGTGGGTGCAGACAGATCGCAATCGAATGGCCACGCACTGTTACCTTTTTTTAAAAAAAAATTCTCAATGAATTAAGATTTGGTCATTTTAGACCTGAATTAGGCTTTGCTGTAGATAAGGAAGTATAGACCTAAGAGGTCACTATTAGCTAAAGTATAAATGGAACATCAGTTTCTGACATCAAACAAAAAATGGCCACTAATTTTTAGGCAGAAGTTAAATAAATTATAAGCAAGGGCCTTAACAGACATGGTGAGGGAGCAGAGATTCTTGTAGATTTTGCCCTTATTAGGCTCCCTGCCCACCCACAATCGCTGTCCTGGAGAGCCCTACTTCAGATTTATCATATTTTTCTTTTTATTTAGAGTATATGCAGGAGCCTCTACATTTTACTCCTAGCAAACAATAACAGGGACAATATTCAGGCTCTATTTGCTTGCTATTTTTCCAATTAATATTAATAATGTACAATAATGAAAATATTCTTTTTATCATTTGCTTGTGTCAACAATAATGGAGAGAGAGAACGGGAGGTGGGGGGGGAAATAAATGCAATTTTTGTACTATTTCAGTCCCAGTATGACTAATCCATTTCCATGAAGTGCTAGAATTCAGCTAAGCAATACTTACAGAAGAAAGAGTCTGTCATCCACTTTCCCATAAGCCAGTGTCCCAATCAAAACTCATGCCAG